TTATAAAATATATATTAAAAATTATAAAAATATTATTATTATATTTATTAAATAAAAAATTATATTTATATAATTATAATAATTCTTAATCTAATATCTAAACTTAAGAAATTTAAAAAAAATATATAATTTAATAATAATATTAATTAATATAATAAGTATTAAATTATTTTTAAAAAAATATTTTATTTTTATTATAATTAAAATCTAATTATTAATATATTATTTATTATTTTTAAATTATTTATAAATTTAGATAAAACTTTTTATAATATTTTTAAATACTAGAGATTCTTATTTATAATAAAAAATTTAAAAAATTTAAAATATATTTAAATATAAAAAAAAATATATAATTTATTAATTTATTTTTAATTTAATTAATATTATTCTAGATATTATAAAATATACTAATATTTTTATTTATGAAAAATTTTATTATAATTAGTTTTTTATTCTTTACTAAATAATTAAACTTTTTTTATTTATTATAATTAATAATATTAATATTAAATATTTATTTAACAATTTTTAAAATATTTATTATTATTATTAAAATTATTTTTAACTTAATATAATTAAAATAGTTATATTTTAAATATATATTAATTATTTTATTATAAATAAAAAATATTAAGATATTCTTAAAAATCTTAATCTAGATTTAATTATTTTTATATCTAAAGATTAAAAAAAATAATTAATATATATATTTTATATTAAATATTATTTTTCTTATATTAAATTTTATAAAAATTTTTTTAAAATATAAAATATCTCTTAAAAGAAATAAATAAAATAAATAAAATAAATAAAATAAAAAAAAATAAATAAACTAAATATAAAGAATATAATTATATTATAATTAAAAATATATTATACTTTATATATTATTTATATAAAAAAATATATATATTATTAATTAATTTATAATTAATAATTTATTTATTATACTTAATCTTCTTAATTAATAGATATAAATAGTTAAAATAATAATTATATCTTAATCTAATTTTAATTATATAATTAAATTATTTTTAATATCTTAACCTGATTATTAGATTATAATCAGGTTAAGATTAAGATATAATAATCAGGTTAAGCTACTCTACTTTTTATACCTTAACCTGACTGCCAGGTTATGGTCAGGTTAAGGTTAAGGTATAACAGTCAGGTTAAGCCACTCTAATAGTAAATAATAAAAAACATTTTAATAAATATTTTATTTATATCTTCAGCTAAGACAGCTATAATAAATAAAAAAATAATTAATAGTAATAGTAGTAGCAGTAATAGTAGTAAATAAAAATATTAAAAAAGATAATATAATTTAAAATCTATTTTTCTTATATATAACAGCTTATATAGATATTATATAACTAAAAAACCACTTACTAAGCTATTTTGAACTACACGACTGATTTTAATGACCCAGCTGACCTGTAACCACGGGCAAATTCGTCTTATTCGGACGTCGGGGTTCAACTTTCGGCGGGTTTACAGGTAAAGGTTCAACTATATTACCTAATGTTTAATATCAGGGGTGGAATTGTACCTTGGTTGTGCGGCGTTCTTCGCCTTGATTACTCTGCTGCTAGAATTGTATTGTGTATATGTGTACATGTGTACATAGGAATGTATCTGTTGGATGGTGAGTGGCTTTGCCGCTTGGTGTTCTATATAGAATACGTGTTCTCTTGCTTGCGCGGGATGTATATTCAGGACCCTTTCGCGTCGCAAATTACAATAATGAGAGGAAGTCTGCTGCAACCGGCACAGTTTGTACTGCACCAATCTTGGTTTGGTGGTCACGAGTGATGGCCGAATCGCACCTGCTATCCATATATACGTATCTCCATTGTCTATGTATGTACATCCCATGCATCTTCCAAACACAATTGAACAACGATTGAAGTTCGCTGTGCGCACGACGAACAAATGGATTAAGGGAGCTGCGGAGCCGGACCGTACCAAGGAGAGCGGATTTCCAATCCCGGACATCCAATCAGACAAGGGAAAAAAAACTATATTAGAAGGGCGAACAGGTAGAATAAAAGAAATTTGGGGTATAAGGTCAGAAATTGATAAATAAAGAGTATCGAAGACAAGGGGAGAAACAAAAAAGGCTCTATGCAAGACAATAGATTTTGAAGGCAATATCCCATGACGAGCAATGCCATCGGCCGGGAATTATGCAACTGGGCTTGGTCAGCCCGGGGAAGGAGATGTTGAAGGTAGGCCACTGCGCTGCTGGAGGAATAGCGGGGGATGGCGTAGGCACAAGTGGGTTCTCAGCGAGCCAAGGGCATCTGCTGTATAGATCCAAGAGAATGAGAAGTTGAGGAGGAGCAAGTTGACTGAGACCGATAAGTAGATCAATCCTTTTGTCCCTCGTTCTCGATCAACTCCAGGATCAGCTGGCTGCGCTCGAACTCAGGATGCTGCATGCAGATCTTAACCGTCCGGCCAGTGCTCGCGAGCGAACTGCCATTCGACAGTCCACTAGATAGGTTCACGGCTCCTCCGGAGTTCGTGGGAATGCTGTTGGCACCAGAGCCGGGCATGCTGCTGCCATCATCGAGACAGACAACACCATGACCCGGAATCACCTGGCGGAGGCGGCCGTTCATGGCGTTCCGCACCTCGACGAAATCATCATTGAAAAGTATAAGAAACCGGCCGTAAAGACACGCCGAATGAGCGTGGCCTACAAACTCCATGACCACGCTGCGGGACACGTCACCGTGCTTGTTAACATAAACGGCACATTCCGTATACACTACCAAGAACTCGCTATCACTGAGCCGGAACATGCCCAGCGGGCGCAGAGTGCCGATGCGATGAGCAATGCTGGTCAGCTGGGCCTGTGCTTCCGGAGGAGCTTCGGAGCGGAAGTCCGGCACGGACCACGTGTATTTCTTGTCGATTGTGAGAATTTCAATACCCCGCTGGGTTGAAATAGCGAGAGAGGAATGAAACATATTGATACCATAACATTCCGAGGGGATATAGAATTCATCGTACTCGCGGAAGAATTCGGTCTGTGAGCGCCGGGAGAACAGACGAGTTCGACTGCTAGATGATTTTTGCACCACGGGCTCGAGAATCTAAAGCCACAGTGAGCAACAAGCACGAATGAGATGGCAATGAGGAGACAAACCTTGAATGTGGACGAGAGCCCGTCTCGCTTCTTGTACATAATCAAGGTGCGGTCTTTCATATGGCCTGCTGCGAAAAACCCGACTTCACGGCTACCTGACAGTTTCTGCGGCGCGCGACGAGCCGAATCTGTTGTTGTCTGCGTGGCAACGCCACCCGGCGGGCATACGACATCCAAGTGGTAGGCGATTAGAGATTTATCCGCAATCAGCACAAAGACGTTGAACTCTTCGAAGACTGCGATCTGGGTGACTCGGATGATTGGGATCGCCTGCGATGATATCATTAGCTTCTGCTCGAGCAAATGACGACTTCATAGTACATACCCGAACCCAGCCTCGAGGATCATTATATTCTGAGATATAGACCCCGTAATCGGTACCAATGGCGCACATCATTCGGCCAGGGGGTTGTTGGAAGACCGTAGCACAGTGAACTGCAGTTCTGCAAATAGGAGTAGGGCGTGGTGAGCCCGCATACCGCTCTTCCACATCCCTGATAGCTCTATCAAGAGGCGTGGCATCTATGATCACGCTCGTAGGGGGCAGAGCAGCTTCAGAGGTCGCAAAAGCAGTGTCGGCCAGCACACGGAGTCTGAAAGGCTCGGCATTCTGGGCAAACAATGCTGCTGCATGTTTCGTTTTCGCCACGGTAATCTTGTCGCACCATTCCTGTCGGCTCTGAGAGGAGAAAGCGTACAGTGTGTATGTTCCGTTCTTTCCCAGGTGTTTGATCTTGAAAGGGTACAAGATCTTATCATCCTTAGAGCTTTCCAGAACAGTTGCCGGCACCATGGTCTTGCTCGAGCCTGAGTTCCCAGAGCTGGCCGAGTTGCCACTAGCCGTGTGAGCTAAAGTGTTTCCGCCTACACCCCGACCAGCGGCCTGTGGTTGAGTCATGGTAGCCACGCCACGCACAGCTGATTTCACCACCGGATCATCGTTGGTGCTCTCCAAGACTAAAAGATCCATAGGGATGGGCAGCTTCGATACATCATACCCCTCATATTTGATCGTCCTCGAGGGGTCCCGAGTCGTAAAGGTTTTGGCTAGCACCAGGTAATGGTCAAAGAGGATGGCATGCGTGTCCACCAAGAAACGTGTCCGTGTACCTGGACGCTGCAGGTCTCCTCGGAAGATGATTTGACGGCCCAGATGTTCCAAGTTCAGCTCAACTTCTTTCTTCATCTCTGGACGAAGTTGAAGCTTAGAGCTAAGCTCTATCAGTTCGACCTTCTTGGTCATCTCGCCCACCTTGGCATCACATTCCAAGGCAACCTGCTTGATCTCTTCGATCGCCTGGGCAAGATTCGTTTTCTCTTCAGAGTCCTTGACCATGTTCTTGTACACGGTAACCAAAAGCAAAGTGTAGCGCTGGATACGTGTGATCGGGGCTTTGAGATAAGTATCCCAACTCAGGCGATTCGACATTTTATGGTCACGGGCTTGGTTGAGGAATTGGCGGAAAAGGACATTGACCTCAGCTTCTTTGCGAACAAGGTAGTTGGCATGAGGGAATGTGGCGGCATAATCGATATAGACGGCCCGGGCTTTGCGAATCCATTCCCGAAAGATGTCGCTGAACCCGGCAATAAATGGCCCTTGCTCCTTCTGACGGTACTTGAGCTGTGCAAGAAGATAGTCTTCATTGACCTTCTTGACTGGATCAACTTTGCCAAAGACATCGTTCAAGAACTTACTCAGGCGCTTGGGCTTGATGACAGAAGGTTGCATACGGGACAGCTGGTCGCGGTATAGTTCTCGCAAAACATCGAGTTGCGCGATGAATGAGTCCTCGGTCGTGACAATCTCATGGAGATTATTCTGACGATCAATTTCCTTCTTCGGATATGTTTCCCAGAGCTCTTTGGGTACTTTGTAGAACGTCACCCAGTCTTCAGCTTTCTTCTCAGCCTCCATCATTTGCGCCTTCAAATTCACCTTCTTCAGCGTCCGCATACAGTGGTGGGAGTAACACCGCCCGAGTACCTCCGTTTCCTCTTCGTGCAACCGAGGAGAATAGCAGCCGGTGCCGGTAATTTGAAACAGGACGCCGGATATCGTGCCTGAGCTGAACTTAACCCACTCCTCGTCCTTCACCAGCGCCTCCTCGGCTAGCATGTTCTTGACCACGCGAGCAGCCAAGGTTTCAGCATCGGCCATGTTCATCGTGGGGACTTTATGGGTGAATAAGGCGACAATGGCATCCACAATGGCCTGCTCCTTGAGGTCCGTCTCGTCCTCACTCAGCTCACGGATCCAGGAGAGGACAGAGCTCAGCGCCCACGGCTCCGAACAGCGACGGAACTGTTCCGAGGAGAGCTTGGCGGGGTTGAACTTTTTGCGACGGCCAGCCGGGATCGCAGGGAGATCGAGCGCCATTGCCGCAGCGGCAGCATCAGGAGAGTCGTCAAACCGGAGCGCACCATATTGCTGCTGCTGACGGAGCAGCTCCTGCTGCTGCTTGTACTTCGCCCGATCTGCATCGGTTTTCGATCTGATAGGGGGGTCAGTACGAGGTCCAATTGGATGGCTCGATAGTGATGTCGACCGTGGCACTTGAGCAGAATTGGGCACGGTCGGGTTGTAAGAATCAGGAGCAACAGGGAAAGAAGAGGGAGAATACTGTGTAGCATCCCGCACATCAGCTTGGTCCTGGTGACGATACGTTCCTGCCGGCATCAAATGAGACCTGAGATTCGGGTTGTTGACCGGTTCGACAGGAGCCGGAGGAAGGGGCCGCATCCCAGGATGAAAGAACAGGTCCCCAGGCTCGTCCCCTTGGCCGGAGCTCTCACTTTCTGATTGCTGCAGGTCCTGATGCTCTCCCAGCGGGCCATTAGTCTCATCTCCATAATCGAAGCTCATTCGACGTTGGTAAGCCCCGGGCTCCGACAGCCCTCCTGTGCCCCCCGCATCCACTCGGGCATGATGCGGCATTTGCGCGTAAGGATATCCAGACGAGTCCGGCGGAAGCGGGTATTCGTACTCCTCCGAGTACTCGTCGCGATCATCTGCCGACAGATGGGAGCCTCCCAATGAACCCGAAGTGGCCGGCAGTCGATCATCACCATAGCCGTCGGTCCCATAGCCATTCTCTTCGTAGCCTCCAGTTTCGCGATAGCTACCACCACCGTAGGAAAGCTGATCATCCTGAGGCCAGTCAGCAAGAGGTGATGTTGCCTGTGTGTCCGATCGCGCTCCATAGGCACTGATGATCGATGCGTTGGTTTCTCGCCGCGCACGTTCCTGCAACCGCTCCGCTTGAACACGGTCCTCCTCATCGGCCATCTGTAACATTGCCAGGCCGGCCGCGGCCTCAGCGTCGCTGTCGTCGCTATACGCGTCATAGTTCACATACTGGCCCATTCCAGTGGCAATGCTCCCATTAGTATGAGTGTGTCTCTCATCGGGCGAGAGGCGATGAGACAAATCCTCTGCGTCGACGAACAGATCCGCATCCGCATCGACCGGAGGGCCCGGCAAGGGGCGGGCTTGGGGGTGTCGAGTCAACGTATCTGTCCGGCGCGGTGACACTGGGGACTGGACTTGATGCACGGGCGGAGTTGGTAAGGATCTTCCGGGGCCGGAAAGGGTTAAACTTGCGCGCTTTGCGTACAGGTCCTCTCCCGTTGACGAATGCGCCGGGGGGGTTGGAGGTTGGTCGTCTGAAGCAGCCGGCAAAGCCGCTTCGGAGCGACGGGGAGACTGCGGGATATAACCGGACAACTGGGCGTTAGTCATGTACGGAGGGGAAGTAGGAGAATTCAGATCGGGGGGGCCGAAAGTCGCGGGAGAGGCTACATTGTAGGTGGACGGAGATGCGAAACCGTACTGTGCGGCCGGAGACACCCCCCCATACTGCGCAGCCGGACGGCTTCCATAAGGGTGGTCGGGCCCGCGGGGAGGGGGCGGGGGTGGGGGTGGGGGCAGTTGAGGATGCGGAGGCCCATAGGTTTGGGGGGTCGGAGGGGCCTGGCTGTATGTCATGGATGGTTGTCGTTGGATGGCGGCGGAGTGTAGAGTGGCTGTCTGGTAGGCAGCGGGATTGTATGGTTGATGGCCAGGCGCGATCGGGTTGCTCTGCGGGGAGCCCGGACCCGAGTAAGCGATCGGGCTGAAGCCGACTTGCTGCTGTGACGGAGTGGGTGGCAGGGCATACTGTTGAGGGTTGTAGGCGAGCTGGGTCGGGGAAGCGGCGGCGGAAACCGATGAGGTGTATTGATACTGGTAGCTGGACTGGGAGGATGCGCGGGTGCGAGACATCTGAGGGGAGGAGGGCGTGGGGAGATGCGCATATCGAGGGTCTGCATAGTCATCGCGGTCCTGACCGCCATAACGAGCGTTCACCTCGGTCGCTCTGGCATTCTGTGGCTGCTGAGATGCCCCCAGAAGCCCTGCATCGTCCCCCACATTGTAGCTGGGCATGCGTCGGAGTTGCGGGCTGGTGGGCTGCGTGGGATACAGGTCATATCGGGTGGGCTGCGCTGGGGCCGGAGGAGAATTCGGTGATTGGCCGTAGATCGGATAACCGTTCTTGTAGTGCGCCATGATGGATGAAGCGAACGACAACGAAAAGACTCAGGTGGGAGAGTCGAACCAAGAAAACGAGGCTGACAGCACGCGACGGCGACCGGGAGGGAGGGAAAGGAGGCAGGCAGCTCGCAGAGGATCGGCGCTGGGACAAACCCACGTTCGTGGCTGTTGAGTGGGGAGAGGGAGCGATGAACAACAATCGGCCACTCAGGGGAGAGCAACAACACTCCCTCCGAATTCACAGCGGAGAATGCGTGAATGACGGAAAGGAAAACTCAAGGACAGTGGAAAGGGAGAGGCGCCGACCAACTAAAGCTTGTTGGTAAAGATAGTGAATCGAGCCTCATCCGGAGGTGAGCCGACAACGACAATAACAACCAGCGCAATAACAAGATAGAGCAGAAAAGAAGCTGGTCAGACCACCACCTCTCCACATACCCTGGACAACCAGGCGATCGGAGTCCCACGAGGAAGCGATCGTTGGAAGTGGACGAAGAGAGGAGAGGTTGGTAGCAGGTGGAAGGCAGAGAGTGAGAAAGAAAGAGGGAGATAGAGAAGGGTGGAGAGGGGGGAGGAGGAGGAGGAGGAGAAGGTGGGAAAAGGGTAAATGGAAGCGACGGGTAGCCTGACAGTACAGTTGGAGAGGGAGAGTAGAGAGAGTGAGGGATTGTGTGAGAGAGGAAGAGAGAGAGAGAGACAGAGAGAGGGTCTTGGCAGTGGGAAAGAAAGATTTGGCGGAGAATTCAGGAGTGATGGGGGAGGGAAAGCTGGAAGGGGCAGGCGGTCAACATAAGGGATGAGTGGCCGGGCTGACCGTTACCGCTTTACTACATGTGTACTAGGTAGGCCACTCTGCCTGCTCCCTTCTCTTCCTCGAGGCTCACTCACTCACTCAATATACATCCATACCGGTAAAAATAATCCCAACCAGCTATCAAACTTATTCCGCTACTCTCCACTTCGTGGTCAGTCATGCAGGATGTTAAATTACAATTCGATAAATGCAAACGCGCTCAGCCTCGAGGCGCTCTTCTTCCGAGTCCCCCACCAATCTAGACACTAAACTCTAGTCGATTGCCCGCAAAGTCCCTGGCAAAGAACCGACGCGGGTATTCCTCACCTGACGGACCTATCCGTCATCAAATCGTGTTAGCAGCGCCGACTTCAAGTCTTGTCTCCAGGGTCTGCCAAACCCACCCGAGCACATCCCTAGTTGATCTACATCCATCGGAGCCGCAGGTCCTCCGCTCTCCTGATGCGCCAGGATACGCTTCTGCAGCGTCTGCAATTCATCGAGCGAGGCGACTCGTAGACAGGCGTGCCGCTGTGAGTCGAGCTCGGCGTTGGGACCGAGGTTGACGTGGATTTGTTGGCTTCCGTCGGGGGTGAGATTAAACCTTCGGAGGTCAGCCAAGGTGCAAGGTGTCGCGTCGCATGATGGGGTTGAAGCAAGCAGGACTCACCACAGGATCGTTCCCTTTTGGAGCTCGGGTACGGGGGCCGAGACCAAGCCCAGAGTGTCGCTGTAGAACTCGGTGGCTTGGTCGAGGGTGCCGTCGGGGACGAGGATGTTGACATGATGGATGCCGGAAATCATTTTGACGGGGTGTGCTTGGAGGTGCTCGAGGTGCTCGTGAGGCTCGTGAGGATGATCGCAAGTCTATAAAAGTGAGGGGATGTAGAAAGGAAATGAATGGAGGATGGTGAAGTCATTCCAACCCCGCAGGGTAATATCATATATCCTTGTGACCCAACACGAGACTGACTAAAGTAGAAGCATTTCCCGCTGCAGGTCGGGGGTGTCTCGGAATCTGTTTTCCTGGGATACTATCCCTGCGGGGTGCTTGATCGAACCTGCTCAGAGTATTCATTGCCGAACCAGTTCGGAAAGTTCTCTGAGCCACTCTCTTAGGAGATACCAAGAAGAGACTCTTTGCACTGGTAGCATTTGAGGACAACTTGAAGATGTATTATCATTTATTGTTCCTAGCACAAGCCGATACCGGGTCGGGCTGATCTGGCAGCGGCCCGAAGCCGGGACGGGACCCTTTTATGGCCAAAAGATGCTTTCAGGGCCACTAGATGAAGTGGTTCAGATTTGTTTGATGGTCTTGAAACATGAAAGATAAATAAAGACAAAGAATGCCTGATGTTCCATTTCTACAATGTGGCAACTGTTCATTTTACTAAGTATGTCTACATCCATCATCCATGTTATATAACTACTACAAGTGGAGTTGATCTTCCCCACTGTTTTTTGGTTGGTTGGTCCCTGTCACGGAATTCATTCCGCCGACCGGAGCGGATCTTCCCCGGGCCCGTTCCTGATTTCCCCCCCGCCTTTCTCATTATATCAACTCTCCGTTTCAACGTCGGTCTTTTCTACGTCTCTGACTTTGCTCCGGCTTGTACGATACTGATGAAGATCGATCAGCTATCAGGTCGACTGACAGACAAAACCATGCGTTCTCAACACCTTCCCGGATTACCGCAATTTCCCCCCAGATTCCCTCGAGCCCCAGCCTGATGTCGAGTACCCCGATGATGTGCTTCCCGCCTGGATCCACTCGAAGCCGTGGGCTGTCTCGTCTGCGGAATTAACTTCTGCTGCACACCACCGCGACGACCAAACAATCTGACTACACTCAAGGCACCATGGCGAAATCGAGGCGAATGGGGTTCGACATGGCCGCTGCTCCGTCTCTTCCGCTGAGGATTGTCCGCAGCCCAGCTGCCGCCAATTGATTCATGCAAGTGGATCGCCACTTTGGGTCTCGAAAGACAAACGCGATGGACCTCGAGATAATGGCTCCGTTTTTGACCCACATGCCGGGAGGAAACTTTTGGATGAGAGAGAGAGAGAGAGAGAGAGAGACGAAACTCTCGGTCAGCTCGCCGGCACCTGGCTAGCTCGTTTCAAGGATTCATCGGCCCCCAGCCGGCTGCTGTGCCTTTTTCAGTTCTCAATTCTGTCTTCGTTATCCACCATAGGAAGCTTCTCTCGGGCGCAGAATCTGATCTGTGATCATGAGCCGAATTCCTGTCGAGAAGTACGAAAATGAGACTAAGGACGCCTACTCGGTCTCGGACCATTTCGCCAGGACCCCTCGGCGCAATCCCTGATCAGAGCACCCGGACCACCATGATACCATTGAGCTGAAAATGATCAACACCTACCGTCTGCAGCAACAACTCACGGTCGGCTCCAATCGGAGCCGTACCCCGCGTGAGAAATGGCTCCCCATGGGTGCCGGGAAGCCCTATCCGCCCCATCTCCCGGGCTCGGAGGAGTACGTGGTGGAGTTCGACGGAGCGGATGACCCCATGCATCCCCAGATTTGGCCTCTCAAGCGGAGGTACGACGGCCGATGATCTTTTATGTGAACATACCATTGATGCCCTGCTAGAGTCATGATTGGATCGCTGTTGACCTTCTGTGCCTTAATCACCGCATTTGTTAGTGCAGTCTTCGCAACTGCCGCCCCACAGGTCGAGAAAGCCTTTGGGTTTGGCTCAGAAGTTGCCGCTCAGGGCACGACTCTGTACGTGCTGGGCTTCTCGGCCGGCCCGACTGTGTGGGCGCCCAGCTCCGAGCTACTCGGCCGCCGATGGCCTTTAGTGATCGGCATGTTTGGCTTCGACATCTTCACCATTGCCTGCGCGACCTCCAAAGATACGCAGGCCATCATGTTGACCCGCTTGTTCTCTGGCTTCTTCGCGTCGAGTGTCATCGCCCTGGTCCCTGCCAGTCTTTCCGATCTCTTCAACAAGAACAACGTGCAATCTCCATTGCCATGTACACAATGTCCGTGCTCACCGGGCCATCCACAGCACCCTTTGTTGGTGGCTTTATTGCCGAAAGCTATCTCGGCTGGCGCTGGACTCTTTATTTGCCTGCCATCGTCGGGTTCTTCAGCTTGTTGTCGATGGTTGTCTTCTGTGAAGAGACACACGCACCGGTCATCTTGGTAAAAAAGGCGGCTATCCTCCGATGCCAGACTCGGCACTTGGGGATTCATGCCCGACAGGCCGAACTCGAAATTGATTTGAAGGAGCTGGTAATGAAAAATCTGGCCCGTCCGTTCTTGATGCTCTTCACCGAACCAATCGCTTTTCTGCTTACTCTGTACATTTCCTTCATCTACGGATTAGCATATGCTCTGCTGGAAGCAATTCCGACTGTATTTTCCGGCACCTACGGGATGACGGGCGGTGTGTCCGGCTTGCCCTTTATCGGCCTGATTATCGGAGAAATCTCCGGCAGCGCTTTCGTTCTCTCTCAGCAAGGCTCGTATACTCGGAAGCTGAAGGCCAACAATAATGTACCGATTCCCGAATGGAGGTTGCTGCCTTGTATTGTCGGGGGCCTGGCATTCGCAGGAGGATTGTTCTGGTGAGTAAAGTCTGGAGTCCGATGTTATCGCGCGCTGACAGGTCCTGCAGGTTCGGTTGGACGGGTTGGAATCGTTCAATCCACTGGGTGGCGCCAACGGCCGCCGGAGTGATGGTGGGACTCGGAATCACCTCGATTTTCATGCAGGGCTTTAATTACCTGCTGGACTCGTATCTGCAACTGTAAGCTTACCTGCTGGTTTGCATTCGACTGTATTGGACTAACACGACGCAGTGCTGCATCCGCGTTCGCAGCCAACACCATGATGCGGTCCATGGCTGGGCCGGTCTTTCCCCTTTTCACGGAGCAGATGTTTCATAATCTGGGGATTCAGTGGGCCGGTACCCTCCTGGGCTGCATCGCCGTGGTGATGATTCCGGTTCCTGTACTCTTCTACGTGTACGGACCACGGCTGCGGAAGAAGAGTAAGCTAGCGCCGCTTCTAGAGCCAGCGGAGCAGCTGAAAGGGGTGTAGACCGTATGACGAGGTGAATACGTGGGATAACCTAGACTAAATATATTTGTGCCATCATGGCTAGTCCAGCCGACCACACCTGCTTAAATTGCAAGCGAATAATGCTCACTATCCTCGCAGTCCAACCGAGCGCGTTACATCGGGGTGAGAATGTTCAACCTCGTCCCCGGGGGTTTCAACCGGATAGACTTTTCGGTTGCTATGTAGGGATTGCTTTCCAGATCTAAAACGTCCTTCAGACCAGATATCTAAGCCTTTAACCATATTCGCTCTTTGCAGGAGCTGAAAGAGTGGAGGAAACTTGAATCCATGATCGGCTGCAGAGTGTTGAGTCTCACGAGATGTACTAGAAAATCCCCGATTCATTTGACCGCGAGAGGATCCTTTAGTTACCAATGACAGGAGTCTAACACCACAAACCCGAAACGAGAATCATCGTGCAACTATGGGTATGAAAAGAACAACTCACTGCAGATGTTAACCTTCACCTACTCCTGCTCCTTGTGCCTATAACCATAGGAGTTAAGCCGAACCTGCATGCACTAGAGCGAGAGCAGACAAGAATCACCCCTGGTTGTCGTCGATTGGTCCTCCCAGACTGCGTCTTCCAGGGACTCATTCTTCTGCTTTTGCACGCCACTCCAGCTCAGGGCTGAATTTTCCATGGGAAACGGAGTCCGCCTATTGATGGGTGTGGTTGTCGCACATTCCACAGTCCGTCCAATCGCTGGTTTGATTGTCATTGCGTATATGCGCCCGACTTGGGGCTTGGGGATTTGCTTTCGATGTTTCAAGGACGATAGGCTTGTCCTCGAGCTACGATCATTTATCACTGAGACGGCTGATAATTACCTGCGAATAACTCTATCAGAATGGCTGAAGCCGGATTGCATCCAGTCATAGCCGTCTTTTCACGGAGAAAGATCATCATCTGAAGAAGCATGTTACACAGCTCGTCACACAGTCATTCCATGGGTTCAAGTGCGGCTGCAGGCCTTATAAAGGCCGGTGCACCCGTCGAGAGTCTCCCAGCCACCTCAGGATTCAGCATCGATGGTTGCATTCGTGATTTTGCCTGGGTGATTTTCTTCGAGGTGTTGTGATCTCACGTTCACTGCCTACTGACGCGGATCCGGTAACGTTGCGGGCAACTCAAAGGTGTGCAGTACGGATATCTTAGGGACGCCAATATTCACTAACGACTATTGCCCACGACTATTGAGACAATCACAGATTCATGTGGAAGCCCTGGGGTTATGATGTAGGCAACAGAAACCAAATGTTGCCTCAGCGAACGTTCACCCGTCCGCATCGGCATCAACGGTGGCGCAAGGGGCGCACAGCGCACTGCCTGCCCGAGCGTGAGACCCCAAAGCCCACCACGGCCGCACAGACCAGAACCCCATGAAGACACCCCATTGAATAGGCACAGTAACGCCACGTGAGGGAGGAAGTTCCTGGGAACATCTGATCCGCCCCCTATCCGGTCCCAGATATAAGTGAAATGCTCTGTACCCCAAGCTTCGCACACCTGATCCACGAATCGGGACGAACAATTCGAGTCAATGCAGGCACCAATAGAGCAAGCATTCTTCGTGCAACGTGAGTTACATTCGTTGCGGTGGTCTTTCGACCCCTGCGTTCCAGCGACATTCCGCAGGGAGGATGGGGTCGAGCGGGAATCAGATCCGCGGAGGCGCTGCGGGATCAACCTTGACCCTGGGGCTTCTGATTGGGGACGTTTCTCCGATAATGGGACGGTCGCATCGGATACGCGATGGTGTGGTGGGGCTCTGGCAGTCATAGGCACAAGCTCGCTTCGTAGCACAAAGGTGGTTGGACGTGTAAGCTGCATGTCGATCTGCCCATGGCGAAGGTGGCTGCAAGCGACGGTGGCTAGCATGGCCTCCTGTGCCATCAGCAGACTTGGGTCTTGTACGGGCACACACACCCGATCTTTGATCACTAACCACCCCGAGCAACCCGGTGGTGTGGTATTCCCATACCACGCCCCGTCCCTCGCGGGTGGTCCGTTTAGGGCCGTGCCCAGCATTCCCGGAATTGAGGCGGCTGGGCGCCGGAGACGGCATAAGGTGGAGGACGTTTCCTTGGTTCTATCGCGCCATATATTGCTCCAGTCCTTACGATTTCGAACTGGAGCAACTCACCTCGAGGTGCGTATGACGAGAGTTTTTATCCGAACCCCGATGTTCCAGCGGGCGAACCATCTCGGCATCAAACACCTTGGACGAACACACTATCGGAAATGAGTTCCCTTCGCTCGCTTCTGCCGGTCACCGGCTCCTTCATCGCATTCATCCTGGGCATCCTCTGCCTATTCTCAGGCAGCCAACGCCAGTTTCTACCACAGGGCAATCTCCTGACGGTACGTTGCACCCCGACCCACAGAGCTAGCATATATCGCCCCACGAAGCACTCAACTAACCCGCCCTGCAGCTCTACACCAGCGGCGCCGGTGGCGACGGCGCGCCCGACTTCTTCATGGTGTACCCAATGTCGTACTGCGTGGGGTACCAAGAAACGTGCGTGACGGACGCGAAGACCAACAGCACGACGATCCAAGACCGCATCACCGAGTGCTCGGACCGCAGCGTCGTGTTCGCCTTCAACCCGGGCGAAGCCATCCAAAAGGCGCTGGGCAACCCGCCCACGGGCCTGGAGCCGGGCAGCTGGCCGGCGTGCATCACCAACGACTTCCAGGCGCTGAAGCCCACCAACACCACGATGGTGCTGTTCCTGATCTTCGGCACCATCGCCGCCATCGTGGCCATCGCCATCCGCATCTGGACGATCGCGTCCGCCCGCGCCACGCGTCCGGACTGCGCATCGCAGCCCCCGCGCTACCCCGGCACGGAGACGGAGCTGGAGCTGCCGCCGGTGAGCGTGGGGTTTTACGCCATCTTGGTAGGTCTCCCTTTCCCTTCCACTTTCTGATGTGACGACCCGATCTAACAAGCGCAGATCAGCGTATTCAGCTTCGGCGTGGCGGCGACCATCGCCAGCGTCATCGCCAAGGAGTTCGTCGATCTGATCAGCGAGTCCGGCAGCGAGAAGGGCATCTCGGCGGCCGGCGGCAATACCTTCCAGGGGATGGTCTGGACGGCGGTGGTGCTGCAGTTCCTGGGCACGTTGCACGACTACATTGCCATCGTGACGTATCGGCGCGCGCTGCGGGCCGAGTATGACCCGCCGGCGCCGCCGCAGGGCGAATGCGCGGAGCAGAAGCGGCTGGTTGTGGAGGAGGAGGAGGAATCATGATGGGGCTTGTTGCATTGGCGTTGCATTGGCGTTGCATTTTGGGCGTTCGGGGAAGCGAACACGATGGGTTCTGGCTTTTTTGACAGGGTTGGGTCAATTGTGTTGATTTGGCTAGTGGGATTCTATCTTGGCGTGTGCTCGGTTTGAGTGAATAAAAGTCATCAAGACCCCGAGTACAGCCCTCAGGTATTCTACACGAGTTTGTCACTTGACACGACTGGCATACACAGAACCCCCTGAACACTCTACCCTCAGCAACAGTACTCCCTGCACCATGATCCGACCCAGCCCATGGAGCAGACTCCCCCCTCGCCAGATCTACAGTACACATTTCACCAAACCAAATCCAAAGCGCAGTGCCTCGCATCCGGCACGTCTAAAAGACCTCCCCACTGAGAATCTCCTCCCTGCTCCCCAAAAAGAACAAAGGGATATGCTCCGTAGGCGCCTTGACAGTGACGACCTCGCCACCAGCAAACGTCTGGTTGGACCACCAATACGTCCAGCGGCCCTTCTCCGCGGCATGAGGCAAATACACCTGCCACTCGGAGACATTCGGCCTGGTAACGGGACTGACCAGAAGCCGCGGACCAAACATATACGCCTGGGTGGTGAAGTTCGCGTTCCCGGCGACCAAGGCACTGACATTGCGGTCCGAGTGCTCGAAGTCCATGTACAGCGGACGCATGATACTGCGGCCCTCGGCGCTGAAGCGCTCAAACACGCGGGTCAGGTACTTGGCCAACTGGTAGCGCAGACGGATATAGCCGACGAGGACGGGGGTGTTGTGGTCACCGTAGGACCAGGGCTCGTTGGCGCAGGTGTAGGCGGATTGCGAGGTGCATGTGCGACTGCCGTGCGTGCGCATGAAGGGCAGGAAGGTCGCCCACGCAAACCATCGCACGTACAGCTCGCGGAACTCCGCCGTGTCGATGTTCCCGCTCCACCAGACGGTCGGGTCCGCCTGGAACCCCCCCGCGTCCACCGTCCACCACCCCCAGCCTGTCGCCGCCGCCGACAGCCCCGACGCGATCTGCGCCCCCAGCGTCTTCCATACCGACGTCGTGTCGCCCGACCAAATCACGCTGCAGAATCGCTGCGACCCGATGTATCCGCTGCGGCTGAGCGAGAGATGCGGGCAGGCATCGTGAGACGTTGTGCTGGTTGCGTTGCGGTACCCCTCGTCGATCGCTTGCTGGTGCGCCCATGGGTATAGCTTGCCTACGCTGCGCTGGGTGCCTGCCGCGTAGAGTACGTTGGGTAGGGCGTACGGGATGGATTGGATGTATGTGCTCTGTCCGTTGTTCTCGTACGCTTCGCCCAGCGCCCCGCCGTCTGCTTGGTCGATCCAGAAGTTCTCGATCCCCTGCGTGTAGTAGTTCTTGTGCAGCATTTGCCACAGGAAGGCGCGGGCTTCGGGGTTGGTTGCGTCGTAGTTGCGGATGTAGCTCCCGTTCCAGCTGTCTGTTGTCCCGGGGCCCGAGCGCGTGGCTGACAGTAGGCCTTGGGCTTGGAGGGCGGCGTAGTTGACTGAGTCGTCCGCCACGCTCGGCCAGAGTGAGGCCATCAGCGCCGCACCGGTGGTGTTGCGGACGACCGCCGACATGTGGCTGACGTTCGGCCACAGCCGCGGGTCCAGCGCCCAGTCGCCCTGGTGCGCCCAGGATTGGTAGTCGATGACGAAGAGCGAGACGGGGATGTTGCGCGCGGCGAAGTTGTGCGCCAGGAGCTCGACTTCGCTCTGGTTCTCATAGCGCAGCTTGGACTGGATGTAGCCCAGACTGAAGGCGGGGGGTGTCGGGGCGCGGCCAGTGAGGGCGGAGAGACGCCGCTGGAGGGTATCGTATTTGGTGGGAGAGGCAGCGTCGGCGGCGACGATCACATAGTCGACGAGGGTGGTGGACTCGGCGACGAACTTGGTGCGGAGGGTGCCGAACTCCATGCGGCCCTCGGCGGGCATGTTCCACACAAAGCCGTAGCCCTTGTTGCTGACGAACACGGGGGTGGGGATGTAGGTGTTGAAGTTGATCAGGTCGATGACCGAGCCCTTCTTGTTGATGCGGTGGTCCTGCTGTGTGCCGGTGCCGTAGATTTGCTCGTCCGGCGTGGCGCTGAAGCTGAACTCGGCGCGAAACTCGGCGCCCGGGCCCGGCCATGTGTAGGTGCGCGGGTTCAGCGACTTCAGCGGCGCGTACTCGTTCGTGAGCAACGTCTCGCTGCCGTCGGCGTTGACGCGCGAGAACGCGAGTCGGTAGCCGCCGGCATTGCCTCCCCAGCCGGTCGTGCGCACAATCAGATTCCCGTTGCGCAGCGTCTGCGGCGTCTCGCCTGTGGAGGTCATGTCGTAGCTCATGCCATGCGCGGTGCCGTTCTCGAAGCCTTCGAGCGGAGGGTCGTATAGGAAGCTGATTTCCTGGCCGGTCGGAGGCCGAAATGGCCAGGCACGCACGCGGAAGCCATCGTAGCCGTACGGCTGGATGAGCAGCGTCTCGAAGCCGTGTTTCAGCCGGAGGCCCGTGGTGTTGGGGTGGAAGTAGTCGGCCAGGCAGTGGCCGACCACAAGCAGGGCTACGAGGATGTACATTCCGTGGGATGCACCGTATCTCGAAGGCGTGTCTGGCAGAAAGGCATACTGTTTTTTGGAACTTAAGTACTCATGTATGCTGGAACAATTTACCCGATTAGCCTAAGAACAGGAATAAGAGCATCGTACGACGAGTAGACTCCGATGCTAGTGGGAGGGGAACTGTCGATCAGTGTTGATCGAGGGAGGGGGGTCTGAAATAAATCGGCGCTTGAACGACTCGTCAGGTATGCGGCTGCTGATTGGAGCAGGCTGCGAAATCTTGCGATTCATCCTGTAGACGGATAGGGCTTGTCTATCCCGTGACCGCGATGCCGAATTGCTCGATCGCATTTGTATCTGACTGCTATGTCCGCGAGACTCAATTCTGCTCAAGTTCTGGGGTAGCGAGCAAGAGGGTCCTCCAGATGCACCCGCCGGGATTTCACTCTTTCTTCTCGGTGGGCCTGTCGGCATGGTCCGTCTGTATGCAGCCTGACGTGGCCGTGCAGCGGCCGAGCCGACGGTTCCGAGTAGTGCAAATTCAGATGGCAGGCCGACAAGCCAAGACCGAACAAGCATGGTGGCTGTGGCTGAACAGAGAATGGGAGCTGACATTGATAAGCAAGACAGATGGCTTGTGCTCTTATCAGATAAATATGTGATTGACACAAGATGCACTACAAAAGATGCACGAACATACTAGATCAGAACGACTGGGATAGATACATTTCAATACACACATTGCACATGCCTATTACTCGAGCAGGGTGGTGAGAGGAATGAAGACTATCTTATGACTCTATACGAATAGTCCCTTACTCGATCATAACACATCGACAACATGCCTCCAAGAACTGCCCGGACCGGAGCCAGATAAAGAGGCCGGGTGCGGAGACCAGCCCATTACTTGCTGCTGATTGGTCAATTCCCGCTCATACGTCAGACATCCGAGGTCGAAACATCACAGCAAAGCAGCTCAACGATGTGCAACTATCAGAAAACAACTGACTCACTTTCATTCGCACGCTCAGAACGTTCACCCGGACAATATCGTCCGGTAAACCCTTCACCCGGGTATCTCCTTATAAACCCTCTCCTCTATCCCCACCAACCCAATCCCATATTCTACAATCCCACCCCGCACCCAAAACCATCAGCAGCAGCATGCCTCCCACGATAACGAACCCCCTCGGCATCGCCACTCTCTCCCTAGGCACAGCAGCACACCACCCGTTGCCGACACGGCTTCGCGCCGCCGCAGCAGCAGGGTACACGCACATCGACCTCTTCGACGACTGCTGGGCGCGCCACCTTTCCACAGAGCACGACCCCACGATCCCAGGCCCAGACAACCCGTGGACGGCAACGCCCGAAACGCTCCGGATAGCGCGCGAACTGGGCAATCTTGCGCGCTCTTTGGGACTGAAAATCGCCTGCACGCAGCCCTGCCGCGAGATCGAGGGACACCTGGACCCGTCCGCCCGGCGCGCAGCGCTCGACTCCGTTGCGGCGCGGTTCCCGTTCATGCGGGCCTTTGGTACCGATCTCGTGTTCATGTGCGCGAATATCCGGATGGATGGGGCTGTGACGGATGAGTTGGAGGTTGTGGCGAGGGATCTGGCGGAACTTGGGGATATGGCGCGGGAGTTTGCGCGGAGGGATGGCGGAGAGGTGATTCGGATTGGGTATGAGGGGTTGAGTTGGGCGAGGAGGAATACCTGGCGGAGTTCTTGGGAGGTGGTCCGCGCGGCGGGGAGGGAGAATGTTGGGTTGGTGGTGGATGCGTTTAATGTTTTGGCCGTTGAGTGGGCGGATCCCTATGCTGGGGATGGGGAGGGGAGGCTGGTGAAGGATTTGAATGTTGCTAGGCAGACCGTCATGCGGTCAATGCGCGATTTGGTTGCCACCGTACCTGGGGAGAAGATTTTCTTCTTTCAGGTGGGCGATGCGCAGAGGGTCGGGCTGGATGAAGTTCGGAGCTGGGAGGTGCAGGAGGGTACCCCCAGGTTGTTGCCTTGGTCTAGGGGGTATCGCTTGTTTCCGGGGGAGAGGGACCGCGGGGCGTATCTACCTGTCGAATTGGTCGCTGCCGCCGTGTTGGCCACCGGGTATCCGGGCCCCGTGTCGCTGGAGGTGTTCAATTACTCGTTGCATGAGACGCATTCCTCTGTGCCTGCAGAGCATGCGGAGCGCGGCATGAAGGGCTTGAAGTGGTTGCTGGATGAAGTGCAGCGAGTGCCGGCTTTCTGGGAGGATCAGACACAGGAGTAGGACTGTATGTCCACGTGTCACAGTAGAAGCTTCTGTATAGCCCCGTCAAACTGCAACTACATACTTACGATCGGGTCTCCTCCTCTTCCTCCTCTTCCTCCTTCTCGTTCCCTCCCCCTCCCCACCCCCATCCCTCATCCGGCTCGGATGCCAAACCAGCAACACCCCCATAACAACCCCCATCAACCCCCCATCAAGCACATACAACCACACCTCCCGGCGCTGCAAGACCCCCTCCGCCCCGCACGCAAACTCCACGACCCGAAACACCGACCGCCCCAACACACAGCCACTCACCACATACAACACCCATAGAAACCTCCACCAAGGCACACGAGTCCTCCTCGCGCGCCGCGTGGGATGCCGGGCCATTCTTCGATGAAACACACCGAGCACACACATAAATGCAGCGAGGAAGAGGATCTGCACGATCAACCCGGCGATGACAATCCAGTTGGCGAGGTGGGTGGTGGACGACGAGGTGGATCTGGCGAGCAGTCCACCGCCTACGCTCTTTAGCTGGCCGTTTTGACTGATTTAGGGAGAGGAAGGGTGGTGGGGTAAGATACCGCCTGCTTGTGCTAGGAAGGCGATCACGTCGCCTATGACGAAGATACGTGTGATTCTGTTCGCGCGGAGAGGGGATCGGGTATCGCCGTTGGTGAGGCGGATGATGCGCGCGAGAATCACGTAGATTGAGGCGGCGAAGAGGGAGGGCGCGATGAGAATCAGTAGGGATTGTATTATGTAGGGGGCTGTGCTCCAGTGCAGCGTTTGTTGGCTGTTGATAATTCGGGCTGCGTAGCCTGTTGTTTCGACTGCGGGCCGTTTATGGGGCTGGGTTAAGGCGGGTTTGTAAGGTGCTTGAGGGTGAGGGCAGGGGAACGTACAGATGCCCCCGATGACGAACGGGGTAAAGAACCAGGTCCGCTGGGCTAGGTAGTGGATTGCGTGGCAGGTCGTCAGCAGCCCGAAGCTGGCGGTCGCGGCGATGGCGGCGGCGAGCGAGGGGGCATAGTGATAGAGTTGGTAAATTGCCATGCTGGGTGCTTTGCAGTCGGAAGATGTGTTGGTGCACTGGGTTATATACTGCCTGTCGTTGCATGGGGGCTCGTATTCGTTTCGATGGCCGGTTAGGGCTATCGACTAGCCTCCATTGCTTGATCAGATGCAGCAAACGGCGTCTAGACGAGCTCTACGCAGGTACATTGACGAATCAGCTCATGATACTCTAATAAACACATTCTAATAAGCGACGCTAGCCCTATCGATCTATCTATCTCGCCTCACCCACCGCAGACGCACCCTCTCCGGCTGAGGAATATGCAGCGTGAGACTCATCGAGCTCATCTGCACGCGCTGCCACGCCCGCTTCTGCGCCTGCGCCACCGTCTCGCCAGCATCAGGCACGATCTCGACGCGATGCCGGCGCAACAGCTGCAGCAGCACGGCGAGAATCTCGATCTGCGCAAACCGCTTCCCGGGACACACCCGGGGCCCCTCCGACCACGCCAGGAGATGTCGCTCCATCTGCGCATCGAAAACCTCGTCGTGCACAGCTCCAGCCCCTCCGCGCGGCGCAAGCACCCACCGCGCGGGCCGCCACTCCAGCGCATCCTCCCCCCACGTATCTGGATCCGTATGCAAAGCAACGCTATTCACGCGAATCGCCGTGTGCGCGGGCACAACCACCGCCGTCTCCCCGCGCTGGACGATCTCCTCGCGGCCCCGCGTCTCGCGCAGCACATTGACAACAGGCCCGTACAGCCGCAGCGTCTCCATCTACTCCAATGAATCAATCAGCCTATACCCCACCATCACACTTCCACCAAGGTAAAGCAAGAGAAAAGAGAGCATACCATAACAGCCCGAAGCCTGATCGCCCTCCCAAACACCTCAAACCCCGGCTCCCCGTCCCCAAGCAACGCATCAATCTTCTCACCCACCCACACCTGCCACGTCGGGAAGATAGCAAGGAGATACACTGCGTAGAGCAGCGTATTCGCTGTGGTCTCATGTCCGGCAAACAGGAACAGGAACAGATTGCCCTGGATCTCGTCAGCTGCCAACCAGTCCCTGCGACCGGTTCTACTCTTGTCCTCGCATTTGAGCAGTGTGGAGAGTAGATCCCCTCCCAGGGTCGACTCGAGCGGTGATCGTCGGCGGTGGGCGACCAGTCGCGCGATGTTGGCGCCGAGGTCTCTGGCACTTGTCCTGAGGGGGTTCGCGCGACGACGACCCAATGGGTATGGCAGGACCCAGCGCGATGGCACGGTCAGCGACTCGAGGAAGCGAAGTAGACTTGTTTTGCACTCCTGCGTTGAGAATCCTGGGGCCTGTGGCGCGGCGACGGGAAGGCAGGCGCGGAAGAGCACGTCCAGACTGATGTTCGCGAGGTCGGGAAATGTGCTCGTTATGGTGGTCTCATGCCGTGTCCAGATTGCGGACAGATGGGCTGCGCGCGCCAGCGACTCGTGCCAGGCGGTTTGGTCGGTGTGGGCGTTGAAGGCGTTGGTCGTGATGCGGCGGTGGCGTTGCCAGGTTGTGTCTTCGACCTGGTTGCAGGCTGGTTAGGGGTGTGTTACAGGAGAGTAGCGCGGGAAAGGGGGAGTACCGAGGCGAGGTGCGGGCCGAAGAGCTCGAGCTTGTCTGCACTGACTGTATCAGTTGCTTGTTTCTCCTTTGGAGTGCATGGTTATGAGGGAGAGGGACGTACCCAGCAAGCCCAGGGGCTTGGCAAACGACTTCCTGCGTGTGAGGATGCGCTCCGCCACGGGCCAGTCGGCCGTCACGAATTCGCGTCCCCAGGGTGTGACCAGGAAGAAGGACTTACCGTAGCGCGCATGCAGGGCGAATTTGTCGCGGAAGTTCCACGAGTGCGTTTGGAAGCGGGCCAGCGAGAAGAAGATGGCGAGGCGGGTGTTGGCGTCGAGGAGCGAGAATATCCCTCGAACTGACCTCGGGAGGGAGATCGCGACGATGAGCACGGGGACGGGGGAGTCTCGGAGGGGACGGTAGTGGGTGTATATTCGAGCCAGGGGGTAAATGATGGTGGTCGCGAGCGCGATGCAGAGGCAAGTGAAGATGGACATGGTCGGACGGGTTGTCCTGGGGGTTAGGGGCCGAGGAGCTCACATCGGGGAGAGCTGCTGATAAAGTACTAATTAGAATCGAGGAGGCGAAATGGACGAGCACTGCGCATAAATATGCATTGATCGAGGAGACCAGACTGGTCTGTACAGCTCAATCATTGAATCAATCCATGGATTTCCCCTTCGGGAATATTAGGGCTCCACTTCGTATCCGTAGCGTTTACTGTCTTGGGTTTAACTCTTCTCGCATGCGTATTCCTTGCTGCTTCGGGTCTCGTACAGTGGGGAATAAAGCATTTCTAGCTTGCCTCTATTTAATTACAGATTTTTATCCAACAAGTTTTTCCTCTTACACAGCCGGCGACATGTCCTTGAATCTCAGCCCATTGCCCACTGCTGCCACCCGCGACTTGCCCAACAATCCATTAATCTCACTCGGGTGAACCACAACGAGGATACACAGCGTCAAAAACATCGGCACTGCGTCGAACACGTAGATGAACGCCTCATGCGTGATCACGTACCCCTGCTGGCCCTGGATGTACTCGATGAACCGCACAATGGACCGGATCAGGATCAGGAAGCTCATCGCGTAGAGCGAGAAGAAGTGCTTCCGCCACGGGATCGACGGCGACTCGGACCGCACAGTGGGATGGCGATAGATCCGGCGCTGGAAGATGACAGCCACCGTGATGAAGAAGCAGAAGAAGAGGATCTGCACCACCAGACCTCCGACGATTACGTTTTCGCCCGTGTGGTCGGTGGCGGACTTGGACTTGACCATGAGGCCGGCGCCTGCTCGTTGTTAGGGTCAATACACGATGAAGACAAAGGAGCGATTCGTACCGGACGCTTGCATCATGAAGGAGAGGACGTCGCCGATAACAAAGATCTTGGTCAACCATTTCAGTCGGATGATCGAGTGGTGCTCTCCGCGGACCAGCAGGATTATGCGACCGAGGATCATGTAGATAGTCGCAGCGAACAGCGCTGGAGCAACCAGGAGCAACGTGCTTTGGATTATGTATGGACCCAGAGTCCAGTCGGGCGATTGATGGCCAGACAACGCGCGACCGCAGTATCCGATGACTTCAACTGTAGCAAGGAAGAAAGCATCAGTATCGACTCGGTGTCTTCGGGTGAGGCTGCAACCTACACAGTGCTCCGATCAAAGCAGCAATGGTCAGCCAGGCACGAGTGCGAATGAGCTGATAGATGAAGATCAGTGTGGCAATCAGGAACAGCAGGATCATGATTACCGCCCCCGCCATGGAGGGATAATATGCGTATGCTACCCAGCCTTGCATGGTGGCGGAAGAAGTCGATGATTTGGAAAGAGATGTAGTCTGGACGTGAACATGGACATGACGGCCGCCGACCTTTTGTACTGTCTGTGCTGGAGTCAGGAGAAGAGATTGTGTAAAAGTGGAAGCTGTTGATCGCCCATCGGTCGTATTTCGTACTTCCAACTCTGTTCGGCTTAGTGGCTGCAGCGCCCCAGCATTGGCAGGCCCAGATTGCAAAGAGATTGGCAAGCGATATTTTTAGTCGAGATCCACTGGCCGCAAAGATCATCGCTACTGGTGGTGGAAAACCGTTGGTTTACTGGGTTTCAGCGTTGAGGTCAGTCTGGGGCAGCTGAACGGGCAACGCCTTGAAACATGCCATGATCTCGGTGGACCTCTGCCCCACACAAAATTATGCTTGAATGGCAATTCTCGAACTGGCATAGACAGATATATGAGGCGGTTAGCATGTATATAACCATAGGATACATATAGGTGTGGCCATGACCTGTAATGCAGAGAAGGGTTAGGCTATGAACCTGGATGGATACAGCCTGCTTCATGGGCGAAGACGCACCCCCCCCCCCCCAGCCGAGGCGGAGTTCGCTTCACAAGGCGCACAGTGCCACGATTCCATAGTGGGTGTTATACCAACCGAGTGGCTCTGATGCCGACGCTGGTTCAGCTTATGCCAGATGCAAATGGCAGCCAGATTCTTGAGAATGGTTTGACATTGGCGAAGCTCCGGCGAATTCACGAAACCCATTCTCCATCCAAGTACGGGCCTTGGGGCGATCGGGATTCGCGGCGGAAGGTCCCCTCGTTGCCAGACTGGGAATCCAGCCGCGGAATCAGCCCTGTGAGTGATGCACTGTCTCTTGGAACGACGAATCGGTCATCAAACAACTCAATATCCTTTTCGGCATGGATTCTGAGGCTCGTTGGGCGGAGATACAGCGTGTCCGGGATGCCGCTGCCGTCGTTGTTCGGGCGGCTTTTGAACGTCTGGGGCATCTAGAGAAGCAGATGCAGCCTGTTATAAGTCGCGACAAAGCTCCAGCACTTAGCACTCACGATGATCAGCAGACGCCTACGGCCAGAAAGCGAAAACACAATTCGACGAGCGATGTCTCATTAAAGGCAGAGGAAGTTGGCAAAGATCGTTTTCGGAGAGCTCGTCTGGGGACAGATCGTCTTGAGAAAGCTGATGTTGAGGAGCTCGTCGTGAGAAAGCTGGCCACGAGCAAGGCCGTCTTGAGAGATCTCGCCGGAAGGAAGCTCGCCGTGAGAAAGATCGCCGCTCATACATCAGAATTGTTCCTCTGTAGTGTTTCGATCGCTATAGGCTCTCCTACTTGCTGCGCTTGCTCATGCTTGCGGCTCTGAGATCAAGACATGACTGATGCACAACGGCTTATCTGTCGAGTTGGCATGAATTGGTTTGTTTGCCTGGGAATTGTTGAGTGTCCTTCCTTCGTTCTTTTCTGATTTTGTATGCGATGATTGCAAATCCTTCGTCAGCAAGCAGTCGCCATGCTTCCGTTTATTGTAGCTGGATCCAATCTCTACACCAGTTTGTGCAAAGCGGCAAGGGCAGTGTTCTTTCAGCGTCAAGGAAAGAATATCGATTTCGTCATGTCGGTCATAAGGAGCGCAGAAGCCGTTGAAGTTTTTGCCGTGCTGATTGTTAGGGTGTTGATTAGTTGTAGCGCTCTGCACACTTCTGTTGTTTGTCTTGTACGCCTGATACTTTCTCAATATCTTGACGTACTCATCTCAACATATTTCCAATGAAGTTCATGCTTCTAGCCGAGTTGTCTATGTCATAATTTTGGGTCCGTAGATTTTCTACACCCGACTTTGTCATCACTGATACACTATACCTCCTTTTCATTCCGCTTCTGTACACCCACCAACCCACCTCAAATGCAATGCCTAATGAGCTTTCGAAGCATACGGACTTTTACTCCGTAGATACTGGCCATACAGTCCCAACAGTATGGCTGCCGGAAGCCCAATACCCAGACCGATAAAACCCAGAAGGCTCCCCGCCCACCCATACCCCAATTTCGAGTACCTATCCATACCATCAGCCTCAACATTGACCCCGAAGAAGTCCAGCCACTAGGATAAACTCACATGTAAGGCGCAAACATCGGGAACGTAAACCCGGCAATGCACCGAATGGTCGACACGGCAGCCAACCCACTAGCCGCGTACCGGCCATAGGTATCGATGACATACGCATTGACGGAGATAGTGCAGGCTAGGGCGCCAGCCACGAAGATTGACGTGCCAATATTGGGCATGATCCAGTGCAGTTTCTTCTCGGCCGACCAGCCGTACCAGAACATGCCGGCGCTGAGGAACAGCGTGGCGGGCAGCATGATGGGGATGCGGAACTCAGGGACGCCTTTGCCGCCGTTGCGCCGGGTCAGGGTGCGATAGATGCGATCGTTGACCAGTGTGCAGCATTCGGCGGCGATGGCGGATCCCACGGCGATGGAGATGTAGTTCAGCCCCGCGATCTCGGTGCGCTCTCCGTACACCTCCGTCCACAGGTCGACGAAGTCCGCGTACAGGATGTAGATGTTGCCGTACAGGTAGGCGTTGTACAGCGCCAGAACCTGGATGATGGGCTGCGTGGCGAGGAGCTTGAACGGGCGCACAAGATTGGTCGACAGCTTCTTTAGGCGCCCTTGGTCCAAGTAGTCGTAGTCGGTGTAGAGATTGGTGGCGCCCGTGGCTGTGATGAGGCGGGCTTTCTTGCGCCGCAGGAGGAGAGGAGGGTAGGTCTCTTCGAGGAAGATGAGTCCCGATAGTTGTATGGCGACACTCAGCAGCGAGGAGGCATAGAACGTCCACTGCCAGCTTGTGTTCTGCGAGATGAAACCCCCGATAACTGCACCTACTAGCGGCGCCAGGATCGGGGACCAGCTGTAGATTGCCACTGCTTTTCCACGATCTTTCGCATGGAAGAGGTCGCTAAGCGTGCCACCGCCAATCTGGGGGAGCAGTTAGCTAGAGTCTATAATGTGGAGCGTGGATTGCATACACCGAGAGTGGCGCTGCCGCAGAGCCCGGCGACGAACCGAAGGACGATGATGGCTTCCTTCGTGCGTGCGCCCCCACAGGCTGCGTTGAAGACAATGTACATGAAGTTCCAGGATTGCACGACTCGCACCCGACCGTAGATCTCAGACAGTGGGCTTGCTACTAGAGGTCCGCACGCAAATCCCAGAAGGAAGATGGAAAGCACCATTTGCTCCACTGCTGGTTGGGTGATATGCAAGTCGGACGCAATCGCCGGCAGTGCTGGCGCGATAATTGTGGACGACAGTGGACTCATAAAAACGAAAGAGCTCATGGCAAAGATTGCTTTCCATTTGCGCATCCCACTCCAGTTCTTGGGGTTCTCGGGGTCATCTTCTCCCTCCCAGGTTACCTTTGATGGTAAGCGGATATCCTGCATAATCTAGGGGACGGCCCATAGATAATCAAAACTTACTAGAACCTTTTCTGACTCCACGGTACCACTTTCGAGATCACTCGCTTTTGCTAGATTCTCCGGTGACTTCTCTGGGGGTTGTGAGTCTGTGGGTGCCGGCGTGCTGGCATCTTCATTCTCCTTGAGTGTATGCAGGCGCTGCAGTAAGTTCTTGATATTCATGGTGTCTATGTGGAAATGTGATGTCTAGGGAGGGAAATGGCTGCCGAAAAAAGCAATCCTTTCACCCAAGTTAGCAGGGATTAAGAAATAGATTGCGAGTCCAGGCTTGTTTAGGAGGAGCGAGCTATCGAGAAGAAGGCAGTTGATATGGATGAAAGCAGTAGGGCTGCCAAGTCAGGGAGCCCGACTACTCCGATACAAGTCCGATACAGCCCAGAATCACCCCTCGAAGTCCGGGCTGTCACGGACAACTTTGACATGCGATTGTGGAGTTGGGCTAGAGTTTACTTCTTACTCTCTTCTGATTCCCTCTTCTTGCTTCCCTTGAGTATTTTTCTCAAAAATCTCTTATTCTCTGGGTGCATAGACTGATTGTGTCTATAGTTGGGGGATTGATGTCACGTGCCTCACGCTAATTTACTCCGCGATTCTCTTCATTTCCCCATCTCATCTTCTCCTCTTCCCAACAAAAACACAACAAAGCAAGAAACACCCTTTCCATATGGCCTAAGAGCCAAGCTCTCTTCGGAGTTGCCTGTCATGTCCACGCTAAACCGCCGGCGTAATCGCTCGCTGGCCTCGTGTGAGCCATGTCGGAAAAGCAAGATTCGGTGTGATCATGGCAAACCCACCTGTGCCTCCTGCCAACGCCGCGGTCTCCACCCTCAATGCTGGTATCATCCTGCCCCTCTGACCAAGCATCGGACTTCTTCTTCTTCGCAAAGACAGCCCTTGTCCACGCCACCGGGTTTACTCCGTGTCAATCAGAGTGGGCCGCCACCTCATCCTGTAGAGAGTCCCTTGGCCGAGACTCCCAAGTTCCACACTTGGCCGTTCATGTCGGCCGATCCCAACGAGACTGCGTCGCAGGCCCTCATCCCAGGGCGTCACAATTACAATGTGAAGGCCCACGATGAGCACTTGGCAGCCATTCAAGGCATCGTGGCTCAGTTAAGACTTTTGCCAGTCATCGAAAAACGGCTGCATGAATATTACTCATTCAGTCTAGTCGCGCTGGTCCCGAGACCGCTGGTGCTGCAGCTCATCACTTCGATTCGGTCCGGTTTAACGGCCTCAGGCTATATCCAGGAAGACCTAGGGGACGAGCTTGGCTTTCATCAGAGTCCGCAGCTAGCTGAAGATATTCTACACACATCCTCGTCGGAGGTGGTCATCACCCGCGACTTGGATCTGAGTGCATTTTGTGCCTTATTTTGTGCGTCAAATCTGCGCATAGAAACTCTTGGCTTACTGTATACTATGGCCGCCCGCGCGTCTTTGTATGCTATGGGCCACGGCCATGATGAAGACTGTGACGACGCATTCATCCGCGAGATGGGCTGGTATGGCAACTTGAGCCTGCGACTGGCTCGTGAGCTTGCACCACAAACTACTGACCTGATGACATGGCTTGCGCACGAGAATTTGCAGCTCACCACAATCTTTGAAGGCGATGCGAGTAAGTTGCGTTGCTCAGGAACCTGACGACACAGTCTGACGGTGTTCTAGGTTTAGGCGTTTGGCGACGCGTAGGCGATCTTGCCACAGATCTACTAGCCCTGGGCCTGAATCGAGAAGCAACGTACTCAGCAACGCCCTTCTTCTTGGCAGAGTGTCGACGGAGAACCTTTGTTAGGGCGTATTATCTTGACAAAGTGTTCGCATCGGTGTTCAATCGGCCGCCACGGATAACAGCTCGACATGCAGACTGCAGCCTCCCGTTAGACCTCTCTGACGAGGTGCTTTTCACTTCGCAAGAGGAAATTGATCAGGCAAAACAAAAGCTTACGCAAGACGGCTGGAATACAGATGGGATGCACAGAATCGCAACATGGGCTCGAATCCGTTATATCCTGGCGGAGTTTCGTGAGGAAACCGTTGAATACCAGTTTCGGCCCCTACATGTCAGCGATTTCATGAAGCTGAGGTATGCAAAAGTTCTTGGAACCCAGTTCAAATACTCAATTGTTATCTCACAGAGAACTATCTGATCGCTGCACTCAAGCATGGAACCGTTTGCCCCCGTACCTCCAGTACAAGCAGGACTGCTGGACATCGAATCTTCCGCCAGAGCTTTGCCACATGCATGCAAAGATCTATCTCTCATATCTTCACATTCACTTTCAGGTCTACCGCCTGGTCGGAAATGCAGAAGGCCTCACAAGTCCTCAGCCAGAGTTGCTGGAGGTCTCAGCTAACATGCTCGAAACGGTCGTCCAGATGACGAACTGTCGCAGGCGAACCTCTTTCTCTCCTCGCGACTTACCTGGAATCGTATCTATATCTGACTTTCCCTTGAAATGAATTATCTGATTAACTTGTGGCAGGTTCTCTCTTATGGTTTGCCATGTGCTGCAATTCTTTCAACTGCTTTGGAGACTGCGTTCCAAGATACATCGACAGGAACAAAACTTCCTCCCAGTGTCAAGACCTCTGTCCTCATTCGAAATCTCTCTGTCCTTGTATCCCAACTAGAAAGCGTCTCCAGTCCCAACGAAACCAACCATGTGTTTTGCCTCAAAGCATCCCAGGCTATTTCGCGCAAGCTCGACCACATCTTAGACAGTTTTGCAACAGCCGATCCTACACAGCCGCCTGGTCTACTACCGGAACCGATTTCAACTCCTAATGTAGACAATATTCCGGTCGCATTAGCGAATCTTGATACGACCGGCTTTGTTGATATTGGAAACTTCAATTTCACAGATTGGGCTATCAATTTTGACATCGGCATGAGTGATGAGTTGAGGATGTTCTAACCACCTCCAGAAAACGAAACAGAACCACTAAATTCAGCATGACGAACATACTTCCGTTGATCAATATGTTTTCAGCAACCCATCGTCCATCGATCTCGAATGAGACGATCTTTCACATTTCCCCCCTCTCCCACATCACTCCAGCCGATACTCCCGCTTCCCCTTGAGAACGTCTGCGAAAAGATTCGCCAAGGCCTCCAAGGCACGATCGCAGATCTGGTAGTGAATGATGATTCGGCCCTGCAAGCGACCACGCATGGTCTTGATACCTGCCCTCTCCGCCAGATCCGCGAAGTGCTCCTTGTCAATCTCGGCAGCCTCCAGATCCAACCATATCATATTCGTTTCGGTGGGATGTTGGAGCTTTCCACCCAGACTTACCCACAGCTTGGAGAGCCGCTTCGCTGTCTCTTGATTAGCACACAGACGTCCACCAAGGAAGATCTGCTCGACCGCCACGCGAGCTGGGGCGCACACGATGCCGGCCGCGCGGATGCCGCCGCCCAGGAGCTTGCGCATCCAGCGAGCGCGCTTCATAAAGGCCTTGTTGCCAATAACGATGGATCCAATCGGGGCGCCAAGACCCTTGGTGAAGCACAACTGCGCACTGTCGAAACAGGTGGCGTAGTCCTTGAGAGAGCCAGCTCCGGCTGCCACAGCCTCCCACAGTCGCGCACCGTCGAGGTGCATGTGGATGGGCGGATTTTGGCTTCGGGCCCAGGTGCAGATGGCGCGTACATCCTCCAGCGGCATAATCGTGCCGGACAGAGTGTTCTCAAGACTGATGATGCGTGTGGGGCAGTCATACACGTCCTCGCGAAGCGTGACATGCTTCTTCACGTCCGCGAGGGTGAGGTGATGGCCATTAGACGGAGTGACGCCTTGCAACAAGGCCCCGCACAGTGTTGCCGGTCCGCCGGCTTCCATGCCGATGATGTGACTGCGGCTGTCGGCGAGAATGCTGTAGGGAGGGGCTAGCAGGGCTGTGCGCAACGCCACTTGGTTGCCCATTGTTCCCGACATGACCAACAGCGAGTCTTCGTGGCCGGTCAAGCGGGCAATAAGCTCCTGGAAGGAGTTGGTGGTGGGGTCTTCCTTCATGACGTCGTCTAGCAGGCTGGTATTGATGATCGAGGCCAGCATGGCTACATTTGGAGATGTCACGTAGTCGGAGCGGAAGTCGTAGGCTGCTTGACCAGGAGAGTCCCAGGCTGTCTGCTGGCTCACGGGCGAGGGATCGCGAGTCAGAAAAGATTCATAGTTCACCCAGGCCTCCTCAGGAAAGTCTCTGTGGGAGGAGGGGGACTGGACTGCCCCCTCACGAAACGATGACACAACAGAAGACATGGCGATGATGATGATGATGATGATTATGATGATGAAATGGCTATGAAGTGATGAAAGATGGTGACTTCGCACTCTCGAGGATTTCTAGCTTGCTTTCGAACAGCCTCTTTATACTATCACTCTCCATGTCAGCCTCTGGCCAAACCCCGAAGTTAATTCCCTCAGCACTACTCCGCTCTCGGGACTGATAGCCTTTTGTCGTATATTTTCCGATTTGCAATTCCTTTGACTAACACACTGGCGTGCGATAACCCTGCGATGGCCTGATCTCCGTGGACTGCGAGGTTCTAGACAACGATGACTCGAGCGGACGCAGGCCTAAGAGGTCGATCGTCGCGACCCCTCTGCAGTCATATGGATCTGCATCCGATGCTCCTGCCCAGTAGAAAGCCAAGAAATATGTCGTGCTTTACATCTGGAGCACAATTTGCGGCATCCTTCCGGGCCTCGAAGCCGTGGAAATTGCCCCAGTGCCTCGATCGACAGGCTGTAACATTCCCGCGCGGCGACTTTTCCACGCAATCGTTGCACCTTCTGAGTAGGGAGAGTACAGAATCCTGAAGCGGGAAAATAACGGTGTGCTAGAACTGCAGTTATCTTATGATGGATAAACTAGATCAGTGCATGACGCTCTGACAGCGGCTTGCACCGCCGGCGGGGCCGTGGGGGATCACCACACCAGGCCGATGATTTGACGAGCACGATTACTATTCAAGGAAGTCTATCGCCGCTCCTTGGCAGCGCGGACAAGCAATGTCAAGCTTACGGGTATTAGCTTGTTTCAGTGGAGATGAGGTGGCTTATTCTTGGCGGCATACTACTATAGTCTATAGCCACCTTCTTTCCTACCGGGCTAAACGCCGCCGTTGCTTCTCATGCATGCCTCTAAATCCTGCTGCGTATACGAGCTCCAACTTTCACGTCATGGATGACGAATCTTATCAATCTCTGGGCAGCGTCAGACCTAGTGATCTGAGGCAATCTGAAGGAGCCGTTGTGTGATATACGCACGGACGCGGTGCTGGATCTGCAGGAATCCCACATTCGTGGAGTTTGATCGTATTTCCCGCCTAAGCCTCAGGAGGGATTCTTCAGCAGCCTATGCTGCTAGAACAGGGTCTCACTCGATGATAGTATACTAGCGCTAAGATAAGATTCTAGCCTCGTCTAGGCACGGGTTATCATGTTTGATATGAAGCTAGTGCTGGCGAGAGTGAAGTCGCTCTGCCAATACCCTGCTTTTTCACGCTATGCCTTTTCCGAATTCCGTCAGAGGCGGACGCGGGATATATGACAGGCATTTAATCTTCATAAGCACTAATCTCACTCCTGAAGATCGACACAAACGGACTTCAGTTGCGCGGGTGCATATTCGGACTCCGCTCGGACAAAGACGAAAGTACGGTATTGAATTAGGTGGCGGATGCATCATGCAGGGTCCCATCCTTCAATCATGTCACCATATCTTCAACAATAATATGTGATGAAGACGTTATCGCGACGAAGACATGATTGCCCAATGGGCAATGCGCATTGCGCCATTGACGAAAAAGCATTGGGGACGGTACGTCGTCCTGTCCTATGGACGTACGTGGGCTTCCATGTCTACTAAATCCGGCTCTATATAACGTCCGTTGAGTTTCGACATTCTCATGCATCATCACCAAGCAAATCCTCCTTGCCACATCACATCCTCGGTGACTCTCTTCCCAGACATTGTCTCACACTATGGCACCCTTCATCCCACCCCAGCTTCACGAGCTGATCACCCATGCCCGCACCCACTCTCCCTACTACCGCGCGCTGTACGCGCACCTCCCCTTGAACATCAGCGACCTCGCAACCCTCCCGCTGGTTGACAACACAGCGTACTGGCGCGCAGCGTCAACAGACCCCAACAATCCCAAGGGAGGGGTGCTGACCAGCGCGCTGACAGACGCGGTGATCATGCGCAGCGGAGGCTCGACGTCGGAGCCGAAGACGGTGTACATGACGCGGGCGGAGTTCCACGCGACGTCCGCGATCAATGGGGCGCTGTTCGGGCGCAGCTGCGGCATTCAGGCGGGCGACCGGGTGGCCAACCTCTCGTCGCAGGGCGGCATGTACTCGGGGTTCATGACGTACGGGTACACGGTGATGAACTGCTCGGTGCCGGTCGTGAATATGCCCATCAGCGGCAAGGAGCCACCTCCAAGCATCACGGCCGACATCCTGCAGTTCGGCGCCACCGTCGTAATCAGCAACGTCTTCATCGCCACAAAGTTGGCGACCTACCTGCGCGACCGCGGCCTGACGCTGCCCACGGTGCGCCTGATCCTGTACACCGGGGAGCCGTTTTACAGGGACCTTCGCGCGCTGTACAACGCTGCCTTCCCGCAGGCCGTGGTCCGGCCGTTGGCGTACGCGTCCGTCGAGTGTAAGATCGTTGCGTTTCCGGCCTACGAGCTAAACGAGGGGAACGAGGACGCGGACGTCGAGCCTACGTATAGGGTGGTGGATGAGGCGGTCGTGCTGGAGATCGTTGGGGATGATGGGGCGGTTATTCAGGAGAATGGCGTGCGCGGGACGCTGGTCGTCACGAATCTGCTCAAGAAGCTGCAACCCACCATCCGGTATCCCATCGGGGATGTGGGCGAGTGGGTGGATGTGCAGGCTGGCTTGTTCAAATTGAGGGGCCGCAGTAATGTTGGGCTCAAGGTTGGCACGGCGCTGCTGGATAAGGCGCTGCTCAGGAAGCTGGTCAGTCGTGTGGTGGGCGAGGGCGTGGCTGATAGCTTCCAGACGGTCATTCGGAGGAAGAACGCGCATAATATCGTCTTGTTCCGCATAGCGGCTGAAGCGCCCAAGGATGCAACTGCCATTCCGCAGAGGCTCGAGGAGGCGATCATCGAGGCGAATCCGAGCTGGGCGCGCAATCGCGATGCGGGCCAGATTGCTCCTGTCGAGGTGGAGTGGGTGAGGTTTCAGGATTTGGTCTTTCTGGAGGCAAGTGGTAAGCTTAAGGAGGTTATTGATGAGCGGTTTTGACATGCCAAACATTATGTACATACGTAAAATGGGGTTAGATTTGTTCTAGTGGAATCGAGAGACAGCGTTCATTTATTCCTGGTCTTTGTAGGTGTGTAGGCTGTCTATAGTTCTTAGCAAAAAGTCTGGATAGTTCCACTTTTTCCTAGAGTGGCTAACGGCCAGGTCAGGTCAGGTTAATAGGAACTTTTATACCTGACTACAGGTTAATAGTCAGATTAAAGAAATTTTTATACCTGACTGCAGTATAACTAAAAATAGAATAATTAATTATCTTAACTATTTTTAGTATTAAGACTTATCTGTTATATCCTTTTTAACTCTAATATAATTAAGATATATCTAGATTAAATAAGAATTAATCTAATTATTTTAACTATCGCTTAAAAATATATAAAAATAAGCTTTCCAGGATAAAAAAAAGTAATTAAAAAATATAATAATATTTTTTTTCTTTTTATTTATAAAAAAAAATAGAGAAATTCTAGTAGTATTAATATAATTTAACTTCTAAAAATATTATTACTTTTATAATAAAAAATATAAAAAAAAATATATAATTATAGTTTAGTTTAAACTATATATTAAAAATCTGATAAATTATATAAAAAATACTATATTTTTACTATTAAAATAATAATTAAGAATTAGTATAATATTTTTAAATTATTATTAAATCTTTTTAAATAAGTTTAATAAGCCTGTTATTTTCTTATTTTTTATTAAAAAAGATTTTAATTATCTATATATCAGATTAAAGGCTATTTATATTATATTATATAATTAATTTATTTTAATAATTATATTATTTATAATTATTTAATTTAAATATCAGGTATTATACTATACCTCTAATAATAGATTTTATAAAAGTCTTTTTTAAATTTTTTTTATATAGGTATTCTTTTTACTTAAACTTATTATCTTTATTTAATATTTATATTTAGATTTTTAGAAAGAGCTAGATATATTAAGATTATAAGATTTCTAGAAATTAAAATATAAATAATAAGATATTTATTAAGATATAGTCTATATCTTAATAAAATAATATATTTAGATTTAAGATTTATAATAAAAAAAGAGATTATTTAAGTTTTAATTTTAAATATAACTCTAAATAATTAAATATTTAAGTTATTTAAAAGAAGAAAATATTTAATAACTCTAAACTTTAAATATAATTTTCTATTTATTATATTTATTAATAATAATAAGTATAGTAGATAGATTAAGCTGAAAAAAGAAATATAATAAATTATATTTATATATAAATATATTTTTAAATTAAATAATACTATTTTTATAGAGTTTTTTTTATTTTTTTTTATTAATTTATTATTTATAAAATCTTTCTAGTACTATAAGTTAGTTATAATTATTTAATTTATTTTTAGAGAATATTATTAAGCCTTTCTCTTCTATTTTTTAAATTTTTATAAATAATAATAAATCTTAAATTAAGATAAGTTATTTAAACTAGATCTTTATTTCTTTTCTAAATCTTAAAATTATATATATTATAAAAAATCAGAAAATTATTTTATATTTAATTTTATAAGAAAGATTCTTTATCTTCTATAATTAATAGTAAAAGATATTCTTTTTTAAAGTTTATTTATAAGCTTAAAGACTATTATTTTATTTTAATTAAAAAAAATTATTAATATTATAAGAAAGTTTTTAAAAAGATATATTATTTTTTAATAAAATCTTTTATATCTATTATTTTATATATCTTTATATTTTATAATATCTAGAAATTAAAAATTTAGAAACTAGTTTTATAAATTATTATCTTTATAAGAATTATAAAAAAAATATCTTTAGTTATATTTAAGTAAATAATTAATTAAATATTAAGTAAAGGATTATTATAGATATTTATTTATTTTTTTAAAATAAATCTTTATTAATTATTCTTTATCTCTAAACCTTTACTACTTATAATAAATAAGATTTTTAAAATTAAATTTTATATTTTATAATTACCTATTATTTACTATTCTGGATTATTAAATATATATAATTTAAATAAATAATTAATTTTTATTATTTTATTTCTCTGTTAAAGATTAAGTCCTTTTAATTAAATATAAATTAAAAAATATTTATTAAAATTATTTAAAAAAGTATATATAAAGTTATTATTAAAGTTTCTAAATATTAGATAAATATTAATTATAATTAATTACTAAATTAATCTTAATTAAAAAATATTTCTTACTTTAACTAGATATTTTCTAATAAAAGATATAGATTATTATAAGATTTTATTAAATTTTTAACTAGTATTTAGATTTTATACTAGTAAAAATCTAATTATAATTATTTTATTAATTTTATATAAATATAATCTTTTCTACTAATTATTAAATATAATAATTAATAATACTAGTAATAATAATTTAATATTTAATTTAATTTTATTAGAACTCTAGATTTAACTTAATTAAAATATCTAGTTTTATAATATTTTTATTAACTCTAATCTTATAAAGATTATTTAAAGTTAATATTATATTTTTTATTTTATTTATATAATTTAGTTTATAATTAATACTTTTCTATAAAAACTTTAGATTAAAATCTTAAATAATATTATTAAATATATTTAAAATAATAATAATAAAAGTCTTAAAGCTTCTTCTAGTATTTTAAAAACTTTTAAAAAAATATATTCTAGAAATTATCTATAAAAGTTTTTTATAGATAATTTTTAAAGATTTTTTTTCTATAATAGTATATTATACTAATTTTTAATTATAGATTTAGAAAATTATATAATTTATAAATATAAGTTCTTAATATTATAAGAAATTTTAACTTATTTAATAATTAAAATTTAATTTAATTTATTATTTTTTTTTAAATTATAAAATCTACTAGAATTTAACTTATTTTATAATTTATTAGATACTTAATCTTTATTAAATAATTAAGAACTTTATTTAGTATTATAATTATACTAATATTAATTATCTTTAACTAATTTTAATTAAATAAAAGTAAATAAAGTATTTTTTTAAACTTTTATATTTATTTTTTTTTTATATTTTATTTATTTAAGAATAGTAGATTTATTATTTATAAGATTTATAATATCTATAATAATTTTTTTAATTATCTAGATTACTCTATTAACTAATTAGTAAGAAAATAAGTATTCTAAAAAAAAAAATTCTTAAAAACTTATAAAATATATATTAAAAATTATAAAAATATTATTATTATATATACTAAATAAAAAATTATATTTATATAATTTAATAATAATATTAATTAATATAATAAATATTAGATTATTTTTAATAAAATGTTTTATTTTTATTATAATTAAAATTTAATTATTAATATATTATTTATTATCTTTAAATTATTTTTAGATTTAGATAAAATCTTTTATAATATTTTTAAATATTAAAAATTTTTACTTATAATAAAAATATTTAAAAATTTTAAAATATATTTAAATATTAAAAATATATAATTTATTAATTTATTTTTAATTTAATTAATATTATTCTAGATATTATAAAATATACTAATATTTTTATTTATTAAAAGTTTTATTATAATTAGTTTTTTATTCTTTACTAGATAATTAAAGATTTTTTATTTATTATAACTAATAGTATTAGTATTAAATATTTATTTAATAATTCTTAAAATATTTATTACTATTACTAGAGTTACTTTTAACTTAATATAATTAAAATAATTATACTTTAGATATATATTAATTATTTTATTATAAATAAGAAATACTAGAATATTCTTAAGAATTTTAATCTAGACTTAATTATTTTTATATTTAAAAATTAAAAAAAGAATAAGATAATTATTATTTTTTATATTAATAAAAATAAAAATATAGATAATCTAAAAAATAATCTAGAAAATAGATTATTATTAAAAATAGAGAAAATAATTTTATCTAAATCTATAAATATTATATATTCTTAGATAAAGGTTTATTTTTTATAATTTTTATATTATTATAATTATTATTCTAAATAGTATAAAGAATAATTAATATATATATTTTATATTAAATATTATTTTTTTATATTAAGTTCTATAAAAGTTTTTTCTAAAATATAGTATATTTTTTAAAAGAAATAAATAGAATAAATAAAAAAAATAAAATAAATAAAGTAGAAAAAATAAATAAACTAAATATAAAGAATATAATTATACTATAATTAAAAATATATTATACTTTATATATTATTTATATAAGAGAGATATATATATTATTAATTAATCTATAGTTAATAATTTATTTACTATACCTGATTTTTTTAACTAGTAGATATAAATAGTTAAAATAATAATTATATCTTAATCTAATCTTAACTATATAATTAAATTACTTTTTATACTTTAACCTGACTGCTAGGTTATGGTCAGGTTAAGGTTAAGGTATAACAGTCAGGTTAAGCCACTCTACTTTTTCCTAAGACTAACCCTAATTTAGAAAAATTGTAAAAAATCTAAATCTTCATATTTTTCTTTCAAAAGACTTTTATTTAATAGATCTTAATTTAATATATTTATATTAAGAATATTAAATATATAGATTAAGATTAAATATCTTAAATCTTTAATAATAATAATTTTTTTAAAAATAAATTTAATAATTTAATATTACTATAATAGGAAAAAATTATATTTAAATATATTTTAAAAAATTTATATATTATAAAGGTTTATTAATTTTATTATATTCTTTAAGTCTAGACCTCTGGGATTTTTTTAGATTTTTTCATTTATATATATATTTACTACTATCAAGATTTTATTGAATATACACTAAAATATATATATTTAAGATATGTAAAATAAATATTTTATTCTAATTTTTTTAATTTATAAGATATTAAAATCTAGTAAATTATATAATATAAATAAAAATATATTTAATAATTTAGTTTTTCTTAAAGTTTATAAATATAATTATTAAGCTTATTATAAGAGAAAATATATTTTAATATTTTTTAATATTAGTAATTTTTAAACTAAAATAAAATAACTAATATTCAATTTTTTTATTTTAAACTTTTATAGATTATATAAAATATATTAAAAATCAAATTATCTTTCTTTAATTTAAAATTATTCAAGCGGTTGTTATATAATTAATTAAATTAGTTTTATGAGTGGGGCTGGAAAAAATGAATTACCCAGACTTTTTGCAAGGAACTGTACCTTTTAGGGCATTGGAGATCGGTTATGTGACTATGATGATTGACAAGAACAAGACATCGATCTTGACTGTAGTTGGGCACTGAACTGAGTCTAGCTCTAATTCACGTTCGCTATAAAAAAAAATATATCAAATAGACACTTATAATGCGAAGTTCGCCATTTAGGGCTTGTGATCGGGCTACGGGCGTCATTGGGTGATTTTTCACGGGAGCATTGCTTGTCCCTTAACGTGCCAGCGCAAACTTAACCCACACCACTTACTCAGTCGACTCTGAACAATCACTTGGCCTGCTCCTGCCTACTCCCCTCAATTTCTTCAATTTGCCCAGTTGAATTGAGTCGGTGCGGCAAGACTTCCGTCATCTCGATAATTTTCTGCGCAACCATGGCTCGCAACGTTACAGCCGAAGCTGCTCAATGCGGGCTCAGAGAATGGAAGATGTCATTCGATGCACAGTTGACAATGGGTCAACATTCTAATAAGCCTTACCAGACCACGCTCTGCCTCAGGACTAACCATTCAGTTCTATTCCTAGCATCGGGGTGTTCAAGCGATAAAAATGGCTACCAGCAGCAACGATAAGGACACCAAGCTCGAACCCTCGGAGACCAGTCCATCGGTGCAAGCGGTCTCGGTTCTTGACCAGGAACAATCCCCTAATAACAATGAGAATGTCCACAAGCGACCTCGCTTTCGGCTGACCTTCGCGGCTCTGTCGATGATGGCAATGTTGGTTTCTTTCGAGGGCGCGGCAATGTCCGTCGCTTTACCGGTGAGTGTTTTTCCTTGACACTACCAAGCGCAAGTCAGCAATCTGACTCAAACAGACAATTGCAGATAGCCTCAATGGCACAGCCATCGAGTCGTTCTGGTTTGGGACGGCTTATCTGTTATGTGCGACCAGTAAGTCTCCGACTCTTTAATGACACTACGCTCAAAGCCAACTATCCGAAGCATTCCAACCGATCTTCGCCTCTCTATCCGATGCATTTGGGAGGCGCAAGCTCGTGCTAACAGGGATCCTGTTCTTCCTCGTCGGGACAATCGTGGGTAGTGTCTCTACGAGCGCTTCCACTATGCTGGTCGGACGGTCCTTGCAAGGGATCGGTGCAGGGGGCATGTTTACTCTGGTGGGGGTCGTCATCACCGACGTTGTCCCCTTGCGCGAACGCGGGCTATACTTCGGTATAGTAGCTGCATTGGTCGGATTTGGGGCTGTGGCTGGGCCATTGGCAGGCGGGGGGTTCGCTGAGAGTGTCACTTGGGTATGGTGAGTTGCGCTACAACCACAGTTGTCCGTGCTGATCCTCCCCGCAGCGATGGATCTTCTATATCAACTTTCCGTTCATCGCGCTCAGCGCATTGTCGTTTCTGCTCTTCATGGCCGACCAGCGACCGGCGGGGGTGCGGGAGAAAGCGCAGAGCGAACAGATCGACCTCTGCGGCATCCTTCTCTTAATCGGAAGCATCACCTCGTTTCTTCTGGGACTGACCTGGGGCGGAGTGAACTATCCCTGGAAGTCCTACCAAACCATCCTCCCTCTCGTTCTCGGGGCCCTCGGACTTACCGTGTTCGGAGCGTATGAGCACTACTGGGCCAAGAGCCCTATCGTCCCCCCACAGCTCTTCCGGAACCGCACAACCGTGATCTGCTACATCTGCGTAGCTATCAAGGGGCTGGTCCTCTTCGCCGTGCTCTACTGCCTACCGATTTACTTCCAAGCCGTCAAAGGCTACAGCCCGGTGCACGCGGGGCTCGCGCTGCTGCCGCTGCTGTTCAGCACGGGACCCGCGGCGGTGGTGACGGGGCTCCTGATCAACAAGGTCGGACACTATCGGTGGGCGATCTGGACCGGCTTCCCGCTGCTGACGACGGGAATCGGGCTCTTCTGCCTGCTCCACCGCGACACCGCGGTCGCCGCATGGGTGGTGATCCTGATCGTTCTGGGCCTCGGCATTGGCATTCTGTTCTGCTCGCTGCTGTTCGGCGTCCAGGCGTCCGTCAACCCCGCGCATATCACCATGGCTGTCGGCATGACGAGCTGCATGCGCTGCTTTGGCCAGGCCCTTGGTGTGGCGCTGGGGGGAGTGATTATCCAGAATCATATGCGCCATGTCCTGTTCGCGGACCCCGCCCTGGCTGCTCGGGCTGACGACTACAGTCGTGACACCGTGGGCTTGGTGCAGTCCATTCCGAGTATTCCAGATGTTCGGTTGCGGCACGAGGTCCAGGATGCGTACACGGAGAGTCTGCGCATATTCTGGGAGGTGTGCTGTGCGCTGGGTGGGGTGGGATTGCTGCTGAGCTTGTTGATCAGGTCTTATAGGCTTACCAGTTATGGTCAGGAGGCATAGGCGGTATGTCTGGAGAACGATCTCGAGTCACTTTCATGTTATTTGCTATTTTACTTTTCTGCTTTCCTGGGTTTTATCTCGATCGTCACGTCAGAGCGATGGATAAGCGGTATCAAGCAGAGAACCACGGAACCAAGAGCCTTACCTGACCCCAAAACTCGGGTCTGGATGACCGCTTGATTGTCGCGAGCACCACCACGGATCTCATTCCCGCCGATACTAACCAATTAGACTTCATAATTGTACTTTTGTGGTCAGTTTAGAAGATTGCTTGTATCTTGGGTTTATGTCGTAGGATGCGGCACTTAAGTATTGGAGCATCGCCCGCGGTCGTAGTCGGACAGTGGGTAGACCTCAGGGCCACGCAATCTATAGTACGCAGTTTCAATCATAGATCTCTTGGCAACTCAGCAATTATTGGTGCTTATGTAGCACCCTGAGACACGCTCAGACCGCACCTGCAGCAGGGCTATGCAATGGTTCCCCTCCCAAGCGGACCGGCTGGATGGCCCAATAACCGCCAGGGTCTACGGCGCTTATCCTGCAGCCAGACCACATCCACGTGGATAACTGGCTGTGAAACAACCACGCCAGATACTTTAAGTCACATTTACTTTCCTCATCACCGCTACGACCATACATACACCCCTCAATCTCCCATAACCACTCTACCCCCTCCATGGCCTCCCAACTCAACCCAACAATCTATACCTCCTCCTCCTCGACCGCGGCTCTATCTCCACCTTCCATTGGACTTTATACCTCGCCACGTCACCCACCCATGGCACGATCTTCCTAATCAACGGCCCTGGATCGAGTGTGTGGGAGTTTGAATCGAAGACCAATGAGGAAGCCACTCGCGCAGGACGGCTCCTTGTGGCGCTGGAATTGGGACACGTGGATCCGGCTTTACACGCCGCACTGGCGGACTGTCTCGCGCGGATTCCAATTGAATACTCGGCTCGCTTCCGGGAAGCCATGACGTGTCGGGTGTGGATTAAGGAGGCGCTCTTTGCGTTGGATGACGAGGGGTATGTTCTGCTGGGGAGTAGTGTGGAGGGAGTTGAAGAGAATGCTAGGAATCGTGCGATGAGGAATAGGGTTCATGGGAGGGTGACTGTTTGTAGATTGGATGATGGTGGTTTTTGAGGGTGCGTTGTTTATGGGGTTGTTGGAAGCTGCAAGAGCAGCATAGCGGGAAGGGATAAAAATATATCGCGGGATGGTTGAAGAGGACTTTAACGTAGGTTGACCACCACTACAGAGGACACAGACTTCCATGCCTTGCAAGAGACAGACCATACAGTCCTTGACCTGCCATGATTCTTGCACAAGCATAAATCCATCAATAGATACCGTGGACGTCGACGGTGGGTCAGGATGGAATTCTGCTGAGACCATGGAACGGACAGCCTTTACTCTTCTTTGATACAGGACTATATAACCGCTAAACTGTCAATCTTACATCAATTGGGGCTGTGGTTTAGTGGTATAATATTCCCTTAGCATGGGAGAGGTCCGGGGTTCGATTCCCCGCAGCTCCATTTTTTTTTTGCTTTTTCCCCCCTCCAGTTCAAATACCCTTGAAAGATCGTGGCTCACACCGAACCAACCCCAACCCAACCTAACTCTAGGTGAATGCTCATTCACCCACCACCCGATCCTCACTCCAATGCGCATACTTCTCCATAACCCGCCACTTCCATGTGCGATGTCGCAGCGGCCGTCCCCAGAAATAAAACGGCACGAAGAATACGACCACCACCCCCGAGATGATCGCCATCTCGCCGAACGCCAGGCTATATCCGCTCTTATCGATCCAGGGGTTGGTGTAGAAGGAGAGTAGGAATCCAAAAGCAGCTGCAGACGATATAATCAGTTAGAGAGGTAACCCAAGCACATACGACCACAGGGTGTGGAAAACAGGGCTTCCCGTCCGCTCAGCCGTACTTAAGCCACACGCCGGGAGGTTAGTAGTTGGGTGGGTGACCACCAGCGAATCCCTTCTGTTGTATGTTTTTCTTTTTGGTCCTCGGGATTTGAAGGTAGGGCAGACGCACAGCATAGAAACAAGGAGGGGAAAGGAAATACCTTTGAACGCCAAGATCGACACGGTCACCTCGCCCACCGCCGGCCGATAGCTATCAATTACATACACCATCGTCGCATTGGTGGCCTGCACGATCGCGAAGTTCAGCAGCCCCAGCCCCAGCGTCGGCACCATCCAGTGCAGCCGGTTGTCTATGCCCACCCCGTACAGCATCAGCGCTACCGGCGCGCAGACTCCCCCGATGACGACTGAGGGCAGTCGCATCTCTGGGTGCCGGATGCCGCCGTTGCGGCGCGTGAACCAGTCCGCCATCCAGTCCGACAGGTGCCCGCCGAAGGCGATGCCGATTGCCGAGCCTACTATTCCCGAGATGAAGCAGAGCCCGATCTGCCAGGTCGTGAAGTCGTAGGCTGCTGCGTAGGCGGTTGCGAAGTTGGAGGTGATGGCCACCAGGAAGCCGATGGTCACGGCGAAGACCAGCGAGGTCCAGAGGACTGGCGGCAGCACGATGAGGGCGATGGGTCGGATGAAGATTTGGAGGAGGGACTCGGTCGTGTAGATGCCTGTGAAGAGGCGGAGCGAGTGCAGGTAGCCTTTTTGGGTCGGGCTGGGTGTGATTATGGCTCGTGGGTTCGCGGCTTCGCGGTCCTCGGATTGTGGCGGCTGGTCTTCCGCTGGGTATTGCTGCTCTTCTAGGAGGGCTTTCTGTCGGTCGAAGGTGGTCTCGGGGAAAGTGAAGATAACCAGGATGGTGACGGCGCCGATCAAGGCGGTCGCCACGTAGTAGATGTAGCGCCAGCTGAGCGTGATCGTGATAAGTCCGTCAATGATGATCCCGCCGGCTACACCCATTGAGAGGGCTGCTGTGTAGAGCGCCATCACGGTGCCACGCTCGTGCAGGAAGAAGATGTCGGCAATAGTCAGCGGGCCCAGACACTCGCCTGCCCCGGCTGCGAAGCCCATGATGATTCTCCCGGCCAGCTCCACTCCGTACGATTTGGCAAACCCGGTCCAGAAGCCCGTGACGACGTACAGGACAAACGAGATCACGTAGATGGGTCGTCGACCATACTTGACGATGAACGGCATCCAGAAGAGCATGCCGATTCCCTGACAGAGTGCGGTGGTGCTGAAGAAATATGCCACCTTGGAGATATGGGCGCTGAAATCAGGTCCCTGTGGCCCCAGGAAGTCAATGGTGATCTCCACGATAGCCACCGTTGGGCCTGCGGAAAGAAAGTTGCAGAAAAAGACGGCGAGGCAAACAAGTACGGCAATGTAGTACCGGAAGGCAGACGACCTAACGCAGCGTACTGGGCTTAGTTTGATCCTTGGCGTGATTGTAACAATATCGAGCTCTCACCAATTCAACGGGTCATTGGGATCCCTCGAGGGAGTGGGAATAAGAAGGATCTCATTCGTCTCATGGTGTCGGAGACGAAGAGTCCCCAAGGTGTCCTTAGGGACTGTTTCGTGATGGGTTTCGGTAGGCTTCGAATCCATGCTGAGTGGCTGATGAACCAAGCTTGGAGGACTGTGGGCCCGAGAGAAACTCGAACCGTCTTAAATAGAAGAAGGACAGCTCTCTAGACAGACAGGCAAAGCATATTGAGGAGGAGGTGGAGGCTGCCGAGGCCACATCAGCAAGGCCACCCGGTCCCGTTCAATCTCAGATAGCAGTGGTTGGTGGTGGCCACTCGGGCCCAACAAGCTTTTGATTGCTCGTATAGTCAAGCGAGACCAAACTAGCTAAAGCGTTGATTCCCCCACACTCGGGAACGACCGTCAAATGCCTCAGATCTGAACAAAGCATGCATGAGTGGATTGAGGGAGGAAGAAGAGCGGGGTAAAAGAGAAAGAGAGAGAGAGGGAGAGACTTGCATTTCAGGGGGCGGAGAAGTGGTCCGCAGCCACTCCCCGAACGTGCAAGTCAGTCAGCCCTAGTTCGCGTCCACCAGCAATATATTAAACGCGCTCAAGCCCCCAATCCATCTCTTACACTATGAACTATTAACTTCACATCCTGGCATCATTCCCCAGATCATTTCTAACCATAAATATCTCAGCACTTCGCACCATGCAGATCATCTGGCGAGACTCAGCATCCCCGGCTGAATACGAGGAGGCCCGCGTAGGGAGAGTCTTCAACCACCGCCGTCCCGATCGCTTTCCGCTGGCCGTGGTCAAAGCAACTTGCCAGGAAGATATCATTGCAGCGGTCAAGCTTGCAAAAGCAAAAAACTGTCGACTGGCCGTGCGCTCCGGGGGCCACTCGTGGGCTGCCTGGAGCGTGCGCGACAATTCCATCCTGCTCGATCTGGGCAGTTACAAGCAGCTGGACGTCGATCCAGCCACTCTCACAGCGAGAGCAACCTCCAGCATGACGGGGCGCGAACTCAATGGCGTTCTTATCAAAGAGCACAATCTGATGTTCCCCGGTGGGCATTGTCCCGATGTCGGGCTGGGCGGATTCCTTCTACAGGGTGGCATGGGATGGAATTGTCGGGTACATTTGACACATTGACCCCTGCATCATACCCGTAACTGACAGACACTGCTAGAATTGGGGCTGGGCATGCGAACGCGTGCAAGCCGTCGACGTCGTCACTGCCCAGGGCGATGTTCTACATTGCAATGCCACGCAGAATCGCGAGCTCTACTGGGCCGCACGAGGATCCGGACCGGGTTCGTGAAGCGTAGAAGCCCCTACTAGATTTACAGACTGACAACGGCACAGGATTCCCAGGCGTTATCTCTAAGTACCATCTCGAATTGATCCCCTACCCCGGAGACGGATTTCGTTCCTCAGGCTACATTTACCCTATCCGTCTCTATCGGGAAGCCTTCGACTGGGTTCTCAAAGTCACACCCGGGTCGGATCAAGACACCGAGATCGCAGTTGTGGCGCAGTACCCCGAAGGGATGGACGAGCTCTGTCTCTTGGTGCTCTTTGTGACGATGAAGCACACCCCAACCGAAGCGGAGACCGCACTGCGTGCCCTGCACGATTCCCGACCGGCCGGAGCTATCACGGAATGGTTCTGCCAGGAAGACAGCCTGGAGAAGCAGTACGAGAACCAGTTCAAAGCCAACCCAGAGGGTCACCGGTACTGCGCGGAGAACGCATATCTCCGCAACGACGCCGACGTGCCGGCCGTGCTGGAGGAGGCGTTCACCACCCTCCCGCACCGGAAGGCCTTTGCACTCTGGTACGCCATGTACCCCTGCAGTCGCCGCAAGCTGCCGGACATGGCGCTCAGCATGCAGACGGACCATTATTTTGCCTTGTACACCGTGTGGGAGGATGCTAAGGACGATGCGCGTTGCCAGGCGTGGGTCCACGACACAATGAAGAAGGTGGAGCGGCATGCAGAGGGATCTTACTTGGGTGATGCCGATTTCCAGGCCCGCAAGACTAAATTCTGGGCGGACTCCAATGCACGAAGGCTGATGGAGATTCGACGGAAGTATGACCCTGAGGGGAGAATCTGTGGGTATCTGGATAAAGGGGACGTGTCGGGCACTCGGGGCCTAGTCAATGACTATGAGTTTAAGCTGTGAGATATACTGGAGTAACGTGAAAAATAGACGTGTTTGTTGTTGGACACGGATCTCGACCTTCTAGTAGACTAATATTCTCTACTTCTAGGTAGAAGACCAGGTATACAAAGCGATCACTGCAAGTCTGCCATAACTACAAGGCATCGAAAGACATAATTTGTAAGCGGCAGCGCTAACCTGTTAAGCTCGCGATCATAGCGTCAATGCTCCAATCAGAGCCGGCAGCATGCTCTGACTAAGCGGCATCCCCAGATTTCGTCGCCTTGGCAGGATGGAATTGACGGTTTGACTTGCAAAGACGCACAGATGGGGTTACGCATAGGTCAATTTCCCCGCATCCCAGCTTATCCATGGTTCTCCTTGGAGAACTCACCGAGCTTGTGGTGCAAGCTGTGGAGGTTGAACTTGTTCGCAGAGATATCTCGAAATGGTCGATAGATTAGTAGAGTTAGCTGTTCTCACATGGGAAACCCTCACAGGGCTCACACTCTCCCTCAAGCATACCCTTTCATGCTAGATAGATGCAGGCCAGGCAAAGTCTTCTTCCGGCTCTAGGCAGCAAGTTTTGCCGTCCTTGACGTCTGAATCGATTGAAAATGATGTCCCCTGCCTTCAGAATAGCCCATCCTCTCGGAAGTACGGGGCCACATCATTTCCAGAAACGAATCGACGAATCAGCCTCCAGCTGTACTATTTGAGCTATCGGGTTGTGGAGGAGATCGGAAAAGTGGTTGATTTTTCATGGTTAGTGAAAGCGCAGCCGATCAAGGGCGAGACGGTGAGGGTTTGCCCGACAATGCGGGGACGCGTATTTTTAAGGCAGAGCCTAGAACCTCAACGCTGAAAAGTGACCATATACGCTTTGATTTGCTTAGTGACTTTCCAGCCGAGCATCATTCTTTGAATCATTGAATCAGCCCGACTCCTCTTCCAACTGTCCAGTCTCGGGCATGTCCCCCACCACTCGTCTGCAGCACCTAGGCAAGCAATTCGCGGCACCACCAACCACTATGACCACCCAAAGCCTGCAGGGCAAAGTCGCCATTGTCAGCGGCTCCTCATCCGGGATTGGTGCCGCTATCGTGAGGGAACTCTCTTCCCGGGGTGCCAGCGTGGTGGTCAGCTACCCCTTTTCTAGTTTGGAGGCCGAGGCAGAGACTGTGGTTGCCTCTTTAGCATCACCTGCAATTGCCATTGAGGGTGATATGTCGACTGTCTCCGCACCCCAGCGACTGGTCGATGCCGCCATCTCGCAATGGGGTCGGCTTGATATCGTCGTCAACAGTGTTGCCCTGGCGGTTAACAAACCCTTCGAAGAGCAGACCCTGCACGACTGGGACGCACTGGTCAATGTCAACGGGCGCGGAACCTTCCTTCTGACACAAGCTAGCCTCAAACATCTCACCAAGGGCTCGGGGCGGATTGTCAACATCTGTAGTATAAGTGCAAGAGGGCCCCCGCCTAATCAGACGATCTACGCCGGGACCAAGGGGATGGTGGATTCCTTTACCAAGTGCTGGTAAGTTGTTTTTCTATCGGAAGTGGGTTTCCCCGGCTGATTTGACGTGCATAGGGCTCAAGAGCTCCCTCCCAAGTATGGTTGCACGGTCAATGCCGTTAGTCCTGGTCCGACTATGACCGAGGGTTTCGCTGCTGCTGGGGATGAGCAGATGAAGATTCTTCAACCTATTATCAATCAGACTCCGGTTGGGCCTCGTATGGCGCAGCCGGAGGAGATCGCCTGGGCGGTGGCTTTCTTATGTGAGGAGCGGTCGCGGTGGATCAATGGCGTACATCTTGTCGCCTCTGGAGGCTTGTTTATTGATTAGAGTGTCGAGCACGCAATGGAGTAAATGCCACTTATACTTCTCGTAGACTTTTCACCATCATTTAGGGCCAAGAAGAGTAAGCGCGAAGTCGTCTTAGATTAGTATTGCTCAATCTACCCAGATGAGAACACCAAAGTGTGGCAAACACTTCTAAGTAGCTTTTAATTTCTGAGTTAAGTCAAGTGTACATCTCTCACGTGCGCTCGGTAAGAGTATGAAGTTACCAATAAGCACTAATTTGCGTGGTGCCCGTTAGCTGTATTTACAAGGATGCATTACGGGACTGATTAATTATTAGGCCAGAAGAGGCAGCTTCCCCTTCACCCTTTAATTTACTGCCCATTGAGAGAGTAATAAAACCGGCGATATTGCTCTGCCGCCGGCTTTAATCTCCGGTCAATGATCATGCCATAGTCTATGGTTCAATCTCTCAAAAGAAAGGATGGACTTCGCTCAGCCCCTACTTTTTTATTTTTCATACTTCGGTGGATCTTGATTGCCGACAAACATTATGCTTATCTGAGTCATACTTTCTACAATATGCCTAGCAACAAAAGCATCAAGAGGTCATTGGCCCTTATTGAGAATGACGAGTCCAAGATCCTGGGCCTGAGTGTTGGGACACATCGCAATGTCCAGCCCGGACAATACATCCCGAAAGCAGGTACGCACAGCATATCCGAATCTTGTCTGCACGTCCGGAATCCATGAACTCAATAAGAACAGACGCCCAATCCGCACCGGAACTCAGTTTCAAACTACCCGACCCAACAAGCACATACATCATCGTTAACCTGGACCTTGATGGACCATTCCCTTCGCTCAACGCATTGAGTCCCATTATGCATTGGATCCAACCTGGTCTTAAGCCGACTGCAACCGATACAGACAACTACACTCTCGAAGTGACCGCCCCTTTCGTGGTGAACTATATCGGTCCAGGTCCCCCGCCAGGTAGTTCTCCGCACCGATACGTCTTCTTTCTCTACGAGCAGCCGGCGGGGTTCGATGGCAGCAGGTACGCGCCGCCGCACGGCAAAGACATGGGTATTTGGCCGCGTTTGCGGTATGACCTGGATAAGTGGGAGGAGGAGACCAAGCTGGGGCCAGTGGTCGCAGTGAACTACTTCACTAGTAACTAGTTGAGATCTGATTTACGGTGATAGAATTTCTTGTATAATTTGACTAGTGACGGATAACATATATCCATACCAACAAAGCTTACAGACGGGGAAGAATAACACTTTAAATAACATAGATTGTCATGATGCTACTATCTTTTAAGCAACCACGAATTACATCGACACATCGCGACCCTTGCTGCTCGCCAGAAGATCCTCCACCCATTCCTCCTGGGTGCAAACAGTCGCGTGGCGAGGAAGCACCCTGTTCACCATTAAGTTATGCATTTCCTTATCTCGATCCATACAAAAATCCTTAAGGACGGTGACGCGATAATCCCAATCGCCTGCCTGCATGACCGTCGCCAAGACGGCCTCGCTGGTCTTCAACCCTGCCGGGACAATCTCATCCACCCTCAGCCCGCGCAGAGTGATTGCTAGGTTGGTGTGCGCGAACGCTGAGAGCCGCGTCCGGTTGATTACATGGTCGGTCTCGGCTGGGGCAACCGCCGGGTGCACCTGTGCTGTCGGGTCATTGACCTTGAAGGTGAACAATTCCTTCTGCCACACCATCGACTCTTTATCCGCGGGCACTTCGGAGAAGCCAGGGCTGAAGCCGAGCTTGGCGTAGATGATGGGGACATGGGCTTCGCGCGCGATCTTGATCGTGGTCTCGAGGCGGCGGATGTAGTCGTCTGCGTTGGGGAAGCCGGCGATCGCTCCGTACTGGACGTCGAGGACCACGAGGACGGAGGCCTTGGGTGCCATATGGTTGTTGACTCGAGGCCTTGATTGTGGAAGTTGCAGTTGGGAAGACGATGTCGAGACCGTTGTGTCTTGCTCTTTTTATGTTCATGCGGTCACTCGATTCAGGATTTTAATGGAGCAGGTACCGGGAATTTCCATCTCAGTGGTAGTAACATTCAATTGTTCATTGTTCCTTTGATATCCACTATAGAATGATTTCCGAACAATGGAGATAAGACTTTAATATAAGGTTATCTTTCGCCAAGTGTTCTTTGTTCAAGCTGCATGTCAAGCGACGACAACGCTATGGCGGATGTAGGGAGTGCCGCTGGGAGCATCCTGCGACCCATCAGTTGCACCACAATATCACCTTCTAACGATGGCATCTAGAAGGGCCTGATCATCGAGATGACCGACTTTTCAAGGATTAATATAGACCTTTTTACAGAATGTGCGAGAGCCATTGCCATAGTTCTGAGCAAGGCTATTAATCATGTCCCTTGCAAGCTGCTTTATTTGTACTTAGGCGATCTAGAACAGCAACTTAAATCGAGCAAGTAGTATCAATCAGGGACGACTGGGGATTATGTACTAAAATTGTTTTCTTACTAGGCGTAGCAAAGAACAGAGCGACCAATTCATGTTGCAAGCATGCAACCTCCAGTGATGTGTTCTGTTCCTCAATAGCCCTAAGTCACATGCCCGAGGAAACACATAACCACAACCAGAACGGAGAAGGAAGAACACACCTCACCACCAAACGGTACATTGATATAGACTGGACGAGGAGGTGGCAATATTATACGTACTCTACTATATGGTCTGATAAGCAGAACACGAAGTATACGCGGTCCCGTGCGGGAGTGTGCAAGCAGGAGGCAGAAATAGCCGACCAGGACCAGGCCAGGCCCACTCGCCACCCAAAATGAGGTTTGACAGATTGAACTATCAACTTCAGCTGAAAGAAAGTGGATCACCGGCACTTGTGGCTTCGTTTACAGCGGCTGAACACGTGGAGAGCGATGGCTAGAACCCCGTAGCGCGCCGTGCCTCCGCAGCTGAGCAGGCGAACAGCAGCGAACCCGGCAAATACAGCCGACCGACTTTCTCAGGGGTAATGCACCACCATCAGTATAAAATCGGCCTAGAATCTTCTCGATTGAAGCATTGTAGACTATCCCCAAGTCATTATTTGTCGATAGACAAGATGACTGGTTCTACTTCTTCTCCACCTGTTCCCAAGCGGATCATCTTGTGTTTCGACGGAACATGGCAGACAGCCGTCTCCGGAAAGCAGAACTGCCCTTCCAACATCACTCGGCTATGTCGGGCTATAAAGCCTGTGGACCGCTCTGGGGAGAAAGAGTGGCAACAAGTGGTGTGGTACGACTCCGGGGTCGGAACCACCTCGCTGGCCGTTAGTAAGATGCTGGAAGGAGCCGTGGGCGACGGGCTGGATGGCAACGTTGTCGAAGCATACAACTTCGTGGCCATGAACTGGAACCCTGGCGACAAGATCTTGTGCTTTGGCTTCTCCCGTGGCGCGTACACGGCTCGCGCGATCGCAGGGCTGATCTCCGACGTCGGCATCTGTGAGCGTCGGGATTTGCATCGTTTTCCCGAGCTCTGGAAGCTATACAAGAAGCCGAGAGAGAACCGGCCCTTCTACTGCAGCGACGACTATTTCCGCTTCATCGATGGCAGAGCATCTGAAAATCATAGGAAGCATGGCACCGACACTGGCCTGGCTTGGGAGGCGAATTACAATCACGATTGGGCACAGAAGGACTCCCGGCTGGTGGAGGTCGTGGCTGTTTACGATACAGTCCAAGCTTTGGGGATCCCAGAGGTTGCTGGAGTCCAGCTACCTGCCTACATGATGTTCTGGAAGGATCCCCCTGGATGGCACAACGTTAACCTTTCGCGACGTAAGCAATTCTGTCTCACCTCTCTGTTGCGACATGGTGCGAAACTTTGACTGACTCTCCAACCTCCGGGTGAAATAGATATAAAACATGCCATTCAGGCTCTGGCTCTCGATGAGTACCGCAATGCATTCTATCCCGAGGTTTGGTGCTTACCCAAGGAGGGTTACCCGAACGTGACCGAGGAGAACGTCAGGTTGTCCCTCGAGAAGACGGCGAAAGAAAAGCTGAAGGCCTTGAACGAAGCCGGCAAAGAGCGACGGCGTTTAGTCAAGGAGGCCCAGGAGCATGGGAAGCTCCATCCAACCGACTACACGTTCCTAGACCAGGCGGGCAAGAACATTAATGCGGCAAACGGAAAGGTCTGGCGAGCCCGCCGAGAGTTTGTGGCCAGCGATGACAATCTCCACCTGGGCATCCCCAAGCTCACGCAGGTGTGGTTCCCCGGCTACCATATCAACATCGGCGGAGGCTCAAGTGACACGTTGCTCAACCACGGTGACATGGAAGAAATGTCTAACATCGTGTTCGCCTGGATGTTGGACCAAATCAAGCCCCATGTCGCCATCAACAAGTGGACTATTAAAGACGATTACAACCGTCGGCAGGAGAGATTCCGTGCCTTGAATGCTGCACGCAGGAAGGACGCGCCGAAAGAAGGCGAGAAGGAGTCCTGGAGAGCGTATATCGGACGCGGTGCCAAGCGGGTGGCCTCGACTGTCATGCATCCTCTTACCCCCGCGCCCTATTCGGGCGAACGCGTCTATACTTGGGGACTGGCCGACATGCCCGACAGTTTCACCAGTATGTACATCCCCAATGGTAAGAGGGGGCGTGAGCCCAGTGCGAACGTGTACAAAGACCCGAAGACCAAGAAGGAAATCATTGGCTTCACCTGCGCCCAGATCCACCCGATTGTGAACTTCCGTGTGGAGAACAAGAAGAACAAAACGTATTTGCCCATGGGTCTGTCCGCAGGGCAATACAGTCGCCGCTTGGTTGGCAAAGAGTTCGTCTACTCTCTGGATGGGGAGGACGTACCAGAGTGGCACTTGGGAGGAGAAAATTCTTATGAGTGGATGGCTCTCAAACAGCACGAGGACGCATTACAGTACATTTTCCAGCAAGAACAGGACCGAATGACAGGGAGCACAAATACTGCATTCAAAGTGTCGAATGGGGTGTCGAACGCACTCAACAGCGTACCTGAAGGGCTTCATAGGCACTATCGGAAGATTGTCGATAGTAAGTTTATTTCGACCGAGGAAAAAGAGGAAGGGTCTGTTCTAGAATCCGAGCATAGTACGCCTACTGGCTTACTGCCGCTTGAAGAACTTTCAGCCAGCAGTTTCAGCCAAAGTCCAGGGTATCAGGGTTGAATCATGCCTATTCCTGTATCTAAGAACCGATGTGTCATTTATAGCGCGTAAATGTTCAGCTTTATATTCTTGATAGCATCCAGACAACTTTCAAGCAATATTTTGATCCGCCTGGAAGGGTCAAAGCTGATCAATTCAATGGATTGTATGTGGTTGTTAGTTTAATGTAAGTTTTACTATCAGCCAGTATTTCTCCATAATCTTCTGTCAAACCCAGATCGCCTCAATTCTTGATCTGATCTCTAATTGTACACCTTGACTTCCAATCCAGGAAGTACCTCTGATTTCATCTCCCCGTAGGAAAACTTCCCGTCGTTAGAGACCTTCACATCCCGGTTGCGTCTTTGCTGCTGAGTCTGCCGTACCTTGACTCATTGCTCGGTCGTCAGATGCTGACCCAACTCCGTGAAAACATTTTGAGTGAGCCCAAGGCGGTTGAGCAGCGGACTGTTCGTGATTGGGTTCAGCAGGACATGATTGTTAGGCCTACCCACAATAGCACATTACTACTTGGATTAGACGGAGGATCGTAAACCCACCGTGCAGAATACAGCACCCCCAACCAATCCACATGCGCTTGGACGGGAGGGGACGCATGCACGCGATGAAAGCTCGACTTGATCAGCCTGCCCGTGAGCGCCGTCAACGCATCGCAGGTGTTGATAGTGATCGTGCTATCCTGCGGGCGCACCCATTTCCACTCCCCTTCGGAGTTGAGAATCTGCAGCGCCGCGACAGGCTGGCGGAAGAGGAGGGTGACGGTGCCGAGATCTGTGTGGCCTGGGGTGTAGATACTGGCGACCTTCGTGTTTTCCTCGTCGCTGCGGGCGGCATAGTGCATGTAGCGGAGGTGATCTTCGCCTTCGACGTCGTATTGGTGGTCGTGGGCGAGTTGTCTTCGTCGGGAAGTTCGAGCAGGATCGCGAAGAGGCGGAGGAGCTTAACGACTACTTCGCTGTGGCATTTCTGTAGGTGTGATTGGTGGAGGCAGAGTGGATTGAACAGCAAGGAGGCACTTACTCGGCTGAACGATGATTCGATTTCATCGATGTGGTCTGCGAGAACGGGAGGTTGCTTTCGCTTGTGGTAGCCATCGAATTTGGGAATGTTGTAGACTTGGATATTGCCCTTTATACCGTTGCCCAGTCCAGGAGCTGTTAGCTCGATTGACTATCTCTTAGGGTGATAGAGCTTACACTCGATGACCAGCTGGTCTGTAACCATCGTACTCGCCACTCTCGAGATCGGTGCTGCTGTGGTACTTGAGCTAAACCTCCAATGAGAGCGCGTAGAACTCGCGACCGAGAGCAAATTGGCGATATTTCTTCTTGGCTGATATTGAAGTCCTTTACGTGGAAGAAGCCTTGGAGCGGTGGGATTAGGGTTTTGGCCTAGATTGATGAGTGCGAATACTAACCGACGTGTCGCACAGCATGGTCGAGTTGTTTCACAAGCTCTTCCTTATCTCCCGCCTGGTCATATCGACTCAAATCAAGGGTAACGAGCTCAGCCCAGGGCATTTAGCTGTAAGTATCGAGAAGTTGAGTTCAAAGAGAGGCAAGTAAATCATCTACGATTCTCTTTCGTCGCAGGGACGTGATCTCGTATCGGTCAATCAAACCCGGCATTTTTGGGTACTCAAGTCTCACGACAAACGTTTGAATCTAATCAATCGAGCTCGAGGCACTAATTCAGATGAAACCACGAAGTTTAAATCACAGGGGTGAAGTTGCATGGAGCTACTATGGCTGGGAGACATCAACTCAACCCCGCACGGCACAATTGCCGTTGAGTGAATTGCAAAGCCGCCCTGCAAAGCATGCCATCCTAAGTTTATCGCGTCTCTTGACTCGCTCCAGCCAATCAAATGCACATGGCTTGACTCATGTCAGAGATAACAACTGATTGACTTCCTACTATGCCAGGGTTTGCGGCACGCCATCCCGCACGGAAATGTTGCAGTCATACCCCCCTCGTTGTAGCCTCTCCCCATCGTATTCGCGCAGCCATTCATGACGAAAACCTGTGGAGGTATGGCAAGTAGTGCAACAACCATTTATCGTCTCGATTACCTCAATCGTCATTGGTCTGGGCACTACATAAAGTCTGCGGATGAATCGGCCGATATGTTGCTGGGGGTGTGCGACGACGGAAAGATCATCCTGGTAGAGTTGATGCAGGCAAGGACTCATCATAATGTCCAGCAATAACACAAAGAGTGGGAAGCTGGGTCCATGGGGGCTATTCAAAGAAGTGTTCAACTGGTATCCGACCAATTACCCGGCCAATGAGCGCAAGTGAGTCGAGCGATGTCGGTGTGCTTCCTCACTTGAGACTGACTGCATAGGTTGCTCTTCAAGCTAGACTTATCAATCCTTGCTTTTGCCTGTCTATGGTGTGAGTAAGCCCGACCTTTATTAAGAGCCCATCACTGACAATATCCCAGTTTTCGTCAAGTATCTGGGTAAGCCAACCGATCTGGACCAAAATACTGGATGCTGACTAGCCTCAGACCAAACAAATATCAGCAATGCATATGTCAACGGGCTGAAGGAAGACTTCAAACTCAACGGTAATCAGCTCAACGTAATCAGCTCAACTACTTCAACACCTGCTATATTTCGATTACTCTGTCTTCTGTAGAATCATATTGCACTCATCTCTGAAGAGTTACGGTAATCACCAAGCCATCGCAGTACACATGCCCAGGCTCAGCTTCTTGGCCACAGCATTTGACTCGTTTTATGTCGGGAAACACTTTCTACAGGACGCAAAAGCCGCTTTGTCTGGACTCTTTAGATGAGGAAAAGGAAAGTCGATCATACATGAGTATGGCAGTAATACTCTCATCGAATACTGCATAGCGGACGTGTTCTTACTAAAATTATTTTCTCCTTGTATTGCAACCCCAATCACAACGGCCCAATGCCCTCATCGATGGTGGCTGCGTCTGCCAACAATGCCAAATGGCGCATTTGTCGACTATGCTGGCGATAAAAGCCTTTACTGACTCTGCGCGAACTGACTCTCAAAGTTCTGGTTAGAGCACTGCAAAGAATTGCTCGTTAAATGAAGCGCGTTGAACGATACAAGAGGTCTGCTATAGTTCAGCCTAGAATCCCTTTGGGGTGGCACTTCTTCCATATATAAAGATCAACAATAACAGGCTCAAGCTACTCTTCAACAGATTCAATCCTAGCCTGGGTCCTCAACAGCGACGCCTGATGCGAAATGGCACCTGTGCCACCGGCTTCCGCACCCCGAAACCGAACCGACTCGACTGAAACTGCAGTGCCGACTCTGGGGCCAGTAGTTCCACGTCGAACATAGTGACCAACATGGCGCTGGTCAGCAACATCACTCGCTTGGCGAGAAGCCGTCCGGGACAAGCGTGTTGGCCTCCTATTCACGTATTACAATGTCAGTTGATAACAAGTCCGATTCAAAGACGCTACAAGACATTGACAAACCTCCGTAAGGAATCCAAATACCCTCAAGTCCTTGCACGCTGAATTCTTCTCTAGAGCTGTCCGGATGTGCTGTTCGTAATTGCTTGGCAAATCGCGAAGGTTTCAACGGCCCGCTTCGCGGGTCGGCCGGGTCGACAAGGAATCGTTGTGCCCAGAACGTGTTCAGTGGATATTGACCATCCCGGGTGTTCCATACCTCCTCATCAGTGTGTGCAAGGGCGGTGTTGATGAGAAGCAATTTGTTGGCCGGGATGATTTTGTCCGCAAGATTTAAGGGTTGGTGAGGAGAGCACCTTGGGACGTGGATTTGGACTCCAAACCGGAGGGTTTCTGCGTACATGGAAAGCAACAGTGGTTCCTTGGCTAGTTTTTCCATGTTACATTGAACCCCATCTGTGTCTGGACGAATGCATTCCTGAAGCCGCGAACGAAGCTCGCGAGCCAGAGTGCTATCGTGGAAAATGTGCGTGCTGAGGGTCATGGTAGATGGGACCACATTTGTGATAGAGCTGGACGCGCATATGGAGAGAGAAAACTTAGTATATCAAACATTCTTAATCCGGGGACAACGGATCCATATCACATACGCCCAAATAAACCCAAGATCAGTAGAGGCCACGGATCGTCGGTCTTGTCCATCAATGGTCAGCAGCATTTTATTTCGTTCCCGCATCATGGCCGAACCCCAGTAGGGGTCCGCTTGGCTCTGATCTGATGGTTTCCTTTCCGGATGTGCCGTGGAAAGCTCAGTGGCTAGTTTGTGCCACCTCATTATCATAGCCAGCAATTCGTCTCGCAGCTGGTAGGAGCCGGGGATTAGCCACGAGGGTAGGCGCTTGGCCAGAGCCATGATAAGCTTGTCATATTGCCAGAGCTTGCGAACCAAATTCGGGCTTTCTTCCACGAGTAGCGGACCGCATAGGGCCTGCAAGAGGGCCGTGCCTAGATGTTCCTCGAAGAATTGGGTCAAATCCGGCTCGAACTTCCAGTCAGAGATGCTAGGGACCGCCTTGTCGAGTGCAGCATACAAGGCTGCCTCGAACCGCTGTGTCGTCGAGTCGAGCCCGCTTCCAAGCAGACCTTGAGTAAGGTTCTCATGGGTGTGATAGCTTACACGGCTGTTGTGGGGTGTTGTACTGCTAGATATGGGTCGATGCCTGGAGCCTGAGGTGTCTGAAACGTAGACATCAACAGCTTGCTGATCCATCCCAAAACAGTATTTCAGCACAATGCCATAGGCGCGAGTAACAGTCAGTCCCGGGTTGCTGAAAACCGAGAGAATATTCTTCTGTCCTTGAACAAGATAAACCTCGTCGTTCAGCAAATCGACGCGCACTGGCCACTGGCCCTGGCAGAAGTTTCTGAATTTTGTTTAATGCGAGGGCAAAGGGGGATGCAAGGATGGACATCTCAGTAACTTACGAAGCTCGTCGATAGAAATCTGGGCCATTGAACACAAATGAAAATGTACTCTTGATGAATGGTATGGTGTAGGGTACGGTTTGCGCTGTCGTGGATGGCGCCTTTTCCAGCGCTCTCAGCCAACCCACCAAGACGTTAAAGATAAGAGAAGTTGCCACGATTGTAGCGGCCACACAGGGAATGAGAATAAAAAACATGATGTCGAAGATAGGGACACTCGCTGTGCGGGCAATTCTGATCTTACTGAATACCAATTGGTATTGCGCCCTTTCCTCCTTCTCCTGGCATCTTCATAGTCACAGCACGATACCTGCCTATATAGTAGTGAGTGAGGTTACCTACTGTTCGCTACCACCGATAAAGGGCAGGGATACTACTAGTTTCCTACTGTATATGTATGTGGGTCAGAGAAATGAGAAGTATTTTGGTAGTCATGAGGGGTAATGTGGTTTGAGCGGGTATAAGCACGGATCAGAATTAGCCGAGAGACTGACAGACTTGTCAGAACTGGTCTCACTGCATGCCGTGCATGCATGTACCTGTACCTTGTCGTCTCCTTCTTCATGGGGGGCTGTGTGAGGTGCGAGCCCTGCCAGTAGCTAAAATGGGAGCCAATCTGGATCAGAAACGGCGGAAACCCCCCCCTCCTCCCTTCCCCTCCCCCTCAACCCGTCACACTGCACTCCGCCCTATGCTATGGTATGACGAATGCAGCATGCAAAAAGCAGCAAATAAAAAGCTCCTACCCCCGGTGAGGTCAGCTTCATCACGAAAGTTTGGCCCCCAACTTCAATTTAGCGCTTATAGACTTTCCGCAGCACTGTACGGGCCAGAAGAACAAGAAAAACAGGATCAATAGGATGATCAAAGCTCGGTGCTTATTATCCACCTCATACACATCATGATCCTTTTTAACAGCCAGCCTCCTTTGCTTTGATGAGCATCGACAGAATTCACGCATAGGACATAAGTCCTCAGTGCAAAATGGAGACCAGTGCTTTTGAACAGATGAATGCCCGAGTATCCAAACCCGTTTTTCTCGTAGGTGGCCCTTATGTCCGGTTTTTATAGCCTCGCCCTCTCTTTTGCCCGGTTGTCTGACTACTGTAAATGCAGGGCGTGCTCTGGGCCTTTACGTGGACCTCGTTCCTCTTCGTCCTCTTTCGTGTTGTGGTCCGATTTGGATCTTTCCGTCGCCTTTATGTGGATGACTATCTTGTGGTCCTGGCGTGGGCAATTATGTTGACCACTGCGATTATCTGGCAGATAGAAGGGCAGGTGCTGTATGCGTTTTACGCCATAAGCGCCGGGACTCAGTCCTACACCCCCGAGATCCTCCCCAAGTTTGGTCGCTTCATGCAGTTCATTGCGCCGCTCACCATCCTGTTTTACTCGGGGCTGTGGTGCGTGAAGTTCTCATTTTTGGCCTTTTTCTTGCGGCTTGGCTCCAAGATCCGAAGCCACCGGATCTGGTGGTTTGTGGTTCTGTTTGCGACGGTGGCTGTGTGGATTGCCTCAGTCGCCGATATCGACTACAAATGCAGTTTGGGGGGATTAGAGTATATCATGAGTGAGTTCCCCTGATCACCGACCGACTGCACTTACTTCCCTCTAACACGAAGAACAAACAGCCCAGTGCGGCAATCTCAATCACGTCCATTATGAGAACCGCACCTTCTGGGCCAACTGCGCCGGGGATGTGATCACCGATTTGTTGAGTAAGCCGTCAATCTGTATCGCTGAGAATATCTGCAACAATTAACAAACATCTGCAGTCCTTTCGATTCCCGTCTTGATTCTCTGGAAGACGCGGATCTCCTTCCACAAGAAGCTCGTCTTGCTGAGTCTGTTTTCCGTGACGGTCGTGGTCATGGCGGTATCCATCATCCGCGTCGTTATCAACAACTCGCTGGATAAGTCCGTCGATTTGGCATGGTTATACTTCTGGAGCTTTATTGAATTGGGAACTGGTGGGTTTGTCGCACTACCACTGACTTACACTGTTCTCTAACATCGAGCAATACAGCCATCATCATTTCCTGTATCGCCTCATTCCGCCAACTGTTCGTCACGTCCCAGAACCAGCATCTGTATGGCAAGGCTGCCTACACGCCTTATAACCCGCTTCTGAACAGTGTACGGAACCGCTATGCGCGCACGCAGTCGGGACCAGGCACCGAGGGCGACGAGGAGTCGCACAAGAACGCGGGCGCCGCTAAGCTCGTACCACTAGACCTGGTCCATGTGCGCAATGATTTTGATCTGGCGAGTGAGCCAGCCAGTCGGAACCCCTCGCGCACCGGGGAGTCCAGGGACTGGCACTGAAAGCTGGCTCAAGGAAAAGCCGGCATGAAATTTAGCTTCAATGTGCACTGTCTCCCGTGTCAGTGGTTGTCGGTGTCTGTATGTGACACTGCAGGAGCCACTTTTTATTTATCTGTTTATACCGTCAGCGTCTCTTTGATGTAAAATCCATTCACCAGGCTTGAAACTCTCCAAGTTCGCCGATCCGGTTTTCACTCACGATTAGATATCGGGTCAAGCCTTGAACACGTGGTGCTCTAAAACTGGCCCTGAAGCGGGTGCAAAATCTCAGATCTCGGCGAATTTCAAGCGAGTAAGATAGAGTGAGTGATGCGTCCAGAACCACCTCCTCACGAGCTATTAATAATTGCACGGACATAATACCCGAAAGGATTCGGAGCTTTCCTCCACCTTTCCCTCCCACCGCAAAACAGAGACACTAAACTAGATAATCAATCTACGCTTGCAGGATCCACTGCCACAACTACCACTCCTTGACTTTTCTCTTCCTCCTGTGTCTTCCCGCCCCCTCGCTTCTCTTGCGCCTCCCTTGCCCTTGCTACCCGTTTCGCATTTAGCCATTCCATCCCCAATGTGAAGGGTACCGCGGCCGCGACCAACGCCGCAGACAGGATCATGGTGCGCGCGATTCCCTGGTTCCAAATCTCGCGCAGCAGCTCCAAGTCTGCTGCCGTTGGCGCCAGGATTCTGAGGTTAGCCGCGCCGGCGGCGAAAACATCATGGCTGGTAAGGCCGGGGATTTGTCCGTGCAGATTCTCTGTGATCGTGCTCAGCACGACGGTCTGTCCCATGGCAATTGCGATAGCCCTGTTTTTTCAAAGAAAAAAAAAATTGGAACGCGAGGTTAGCGAGGGATGGTCAGTTTGGGGGAGGCTGGCTGGAAAGAACTTTACCCTCCTAGTTGATAGAATAAAACGGCAATTGCTACATCATTGGTCCAATCGGTTAGGTTGGGTCTATTGACGAGGATAGTTGCTGATAAGACGTACCATTTCCCATTGGTAGATCGTCGGCCCTGTTCAGCCAAGCGGAGGCAGGCAGACGTCAGACACGGTAGGCTATGTGCCGTTCTGCAGGGAACTCAAAAGGTCTGTTGGGGCGAATCACTTACGTGAGTGTGACTTGAATGGCAGTATACGGCAGTTGCATGGCCAGTCCCAGCCCTAAGCCGGTCACCACCAAATACGCGGCCCACTGCACAGTCCGGGTCAACGGATGCAGTTGTGTCAAAAGTGATGTTCCCACAATGCAGACAAGGTCTCCCGCTAGGATGTAGGGGACCTAAATTATTATCGATTAGTGAGATGCAGCTAACAAAAGGCCGGCAGATCAATTGACTCATTGCGTCCTGTACTCACGTAATGACCCCACTGTTTAACAACAGCCCCGATGAGAATCAATGCTACCATTTCGGAAAGCATTAGAGGGATGAAATTGACCCCACTCGAGACGGGGCTGATTCCATGCACAGCCTCAAAGTAAAATGGCAGAAAGTAGGTGTCCAGGTATGTTGATCCTCCCAAGAAGAAGAGGACCATGGCAGATGTGTAAACGGACCGCCGGCGGAGGATCCGGAGAGTGATGAGCGCCCGCTCTTTTCGCTTCCACTGCACATATACAAAGAGTAGGGCTAGCACTGCAGCGCCGACAAGTAGCCCAATTACGGTGGAGGAAATCCAGGGTCGGGTCTGGCCACCCCACTGCAAGGCTAGGAGCAAGCAGCATACCGCCCCCAGAAAAATGGCACAGCCTAGAGGGTCCATGCGTGCCCACTTTGCGCGTATGGATAATTGCCGGTCTTCGTTGGCCTGACCCTGGATCTTAAGAAAGACAGTAAGGCCGCCAAGAACGACAGCACCAAAGGGGAGATTGCTGCAGCATAGATTAATTGAGGTCATCATAGACCGATTTTAGGGGTGGGTGGAGGAGGGAGGAGGTCAACCTACATCCAGAAACACCATCGCCACGTTGCGTGTTGGGTAAATACTCCGCCTAAAGGGGGACCAATGCAGACGGTGATGACAAAGACACTAATGACGATTCCCATATACAATGGTCGTTTCTCCAATTGCACCACCTGTCCGATAATACTCAAAGCTCCCTGGAGCACTCCTGCGGCTCCGAAGCCGGCGACGGCCCGGCCCACGATGAACATTGAGGATGAAGTTGCCGCCGCGCACAGGACAGTCCCCACTGTGAAAATGACCCCACCAATTAGTTAGTGAATTAGTTAGTTAGTTCGGAGTTAGTGCTTACTCAGATCGGAGTTGTGTCAAACAATTCATCACTTACCCTCGAAAATCAGAATGGACAGACGATAGACTATGTCTGTCTTGAAAAAGCGATAGCAGCTTCCATAGACTGGCTGGAATGCAGTCACGGTGAGTAAGTAGCCGGTTCCATACCATGCCACATCGTCCAGCGCGTGGAAATCCGTGGAGATTTGGGGAATCGCAACATTGATGATATTAGTGTCCAACGCAATCAGAAAAGAACCAAAGAATAGACAGGTAATCACCACGCCAAGTCGCCACCCTGCGAGATAGGACGGCGGCTCCTGGCGGGAGGAGTGGCCGGAGGAGTCGTCCAAGGTGGCCATGATCTCTGATTAATTGATTGTAAGACAGACTCGGAGCAGCAGTGGAGAGCAGATAAGTTATCAATGATCGCGGTGGAGGGGCAGGACTGTATCGTATTGTACAATACGAGTTTAGGTAAGGTCGATTTACTGTGTAAGATGGCGCTTGCCCCCAAATTGGGATCAGCAAGCTGCATCATGCATATGCCGCAGGCCCTATGAAGTAAGTATCATATGGATGTTGCAAACGGACCACAAACGGGGGCCTTTGGACGTTGGGGGCCATCGGGACGGACCGATAATTTTGATCGAATTGTGTAAGGCAGAGAACGAATTAATCCGGTTCACTGACAGCACGGTTATCGGAGTGTCCTGTCATTACTGAGTACTTTGTGTAGGACTAGGTAATACTCGGAAGGTTTATTATTAGCGCAGTGCCATTTAGCCGAAGCACCGTTAATCAGCCAATCTTGATTAACTTAGAATCATTTAGGCAATAAAAAATAGTTAGCTTCTTTGGAAGATGGCTGGTGCGTATGTATCATGAAACCACTGTTTGCATTATCTATATTCATATTCATGTACATACAAATACTCGACCTGGTGGCTTAGTGTCCCACTCTACCACATTCATGACCTCGAACAGCAAGCAGAATGGCATTACGACTTCTTTCCTCCCGAGGCTTCACGGCGCGACGTGGTCAGCTTCGGCCAATTTGTGGTGGTAGTTATGGCAGTCAACTATGTCTTCGGACCTATTCTTCGCCAGCCCATCCACCCAGGAACAGCGTCACGGAATTGCTCGAGAAGGCTCAGGCTGCCACCAAAGTTTACCTCGACTATGTGAAGTCCCAGGGTCTCCCCGAACCATCGTACCAACACGGCGAGGGATTGGATCCCATGCGTCCGCTGCCTCGGGACGTGCAGATCGCGAAAGAGGACGCCATCGAGGCGACGTACGAGCTTCACCACCTCCTGCTAGGTCCGATGGGGCTGTTGTTCACCGCACCAGGCGACGTATTGTCCCTTTCCTCTTCTCCTCGCCACAAAAGATGAGTTACGGTGCACTAATGCCCTAGATGACTAGCAACCACTGCTTATGACCCTGCAATACATCTACCGCTACCGGCTTGCCGCACACGTTCCCTTAGAAGGTACCGTCACTTTCGAGGAGCTCTCCAAGATCACCCAGCTCAACATCAAGGACGTGACCCGCTTCCTGCGTGTTGCTATCAGCCGACATATATTCAACGAGCCAAAGAAGGGGGTGGTTGAGCATACTGCCACGTCGAAGCTGCTTGTTGACAACCCTATGATCGAAGCCTGGCTGCTAAACATCGCCCAAGAATTTTGGCCCGCCTTCGCGCGCACCGTCGACGCAACGGAAAAGTGGCCGGGATCCGAGGAACCAAATGAAACTGTGAGACGAATCCCGTTGAGCAGGGCAATATCCATGGCGTTGGGAGAACATGGGCTGACTGAAATCCTCTCCTCAGGGCTATGCTCTCGCGCATGGGACCACCTCACACCCTTTTGATGAGATCCGCAAACATCCCGCCCGTCATGAGCAGTTCATCACCGCCATGCGCTTCTCTCACCTCCACCCCGACTATCACCTCACGCACCTGCTCAACAATTACGACTTTGACCGTCGCAGGACGAAGGATACCACCACCACCACGGTTGTCGACATCGGTGGCTCCAACGGCGAGGTGAGCACCGCCATTGCTGAGCGCTATCCGGACGTTCGGTGCATCGTGCAGGATCTGCCCGACACGATCGCAGGCCTGGCAGCCCGGGTGCCCGCCGCCGTGGCCGAGCGCGTCACCGGCATGGCCCACGACTTCCTGACTCCGCAGCCCGTGTTCGGCGCTGATGTTTACTTATTACGCTGGATCCTGCACGACTGGTCCGACACTTACGCCGTCAAGATTCTTCGCAATCTTACCCCCGCGCTCAAGCCCGGCGCTCGCGTCGTGGTCAATGATATCTGTATTCCCGAACCCGGAGTGCTAGGCCCCAAGGCCAATCGCGATCTACGCTATATGGATATCGCGATGAAATCATTTAACAATGCCCGTGAACGCGACGCCGAGACCTGGGAAGCTTTGTTCACCGAGGCGCATCCTCAATACCGGTTTCTTGGGGTGACGGTGCCTGTTGGAGCGCGGATGGCCATCATTGAGGCTGAGTGGGTTGGGTGAAGAGGCGATATTTAAAATGTTCCGTGCTGTCTCGTTTGTTATGTACAGTACCGTACCAAGTATTCCTGTTTCAAGTGAAGAATACGGCTGTCTTGTGACATACTAAGATATCGTGTCTGTAAGAATCTCCGGGTCAACTAGCAGACATAGGCATAATGTAGAAAGGAACATGAGTAAAATTTAAGAGTAGCAAGATCGAAAGCTATCTTGTTGAGAAGTTGATCAAGAATCCCTATCGAAGGGCAGGACTAAAAAATGATTCGTATCCATTCTTTCATGATAAGGAAGGCGCAATCGGTAGCAGCACACGAGAGAGCAAAATATCTTCTATATCGGAGCCAATAAAATTCATGAAACCGAAGAAAAAAAACAATGAAGAAAAGATGTCACTTGCATGATTTTGTATATTACATGGATCCAAGCCGGCCAATGCGGTTTCTACATCCTAACTGCCAACGGAGAAGAATCTCATACGACGACGCGACTCACCCTCATCCGCACGCGATCCGCGTCCTTCATGCGCAGCAGCAACTGCATATCCACATCCTGCGTGGTCGCCAGTACCCTAGCCTGGGTTTCCTGGAAAGTCTCGCCGGGATCAGCGACGGCGTGGACGCGATGGGTCCGCAGGAGAGTCGCCATGACGGCCACAAACTCCACCTGCGAGAACTTATTCCCGGGACAGTTCTGCGGGCCGTCGGACCAGGGGAGGTAGCTGCTCCGCTCGGGGATTATAATTTGCTCGGACGCTCCTTCTGCCGTGACCCAGCGCGAAGGTTTCCAGGTCATCGGATCGCTCCAGTATTGAGGGTCGATGTGCATGGTGAGCACGCTAGGGTTGATACCGACGTCACCGGGAATGACAAGTGTTCGTTCACCGACTTGGAGTGATTGCGGCTCGCTACTTGTCCACTTGGGTAAGGATTGGATTGGGGGGAAGAGGCGGAGGGTCTCGAGCTGCGCGTATGAGCCACGGGTCTTTGAGTCAGCGGTGTTACTAACTAGGAGCGACAAATGTAGATTGACCTTACCATAACCGATCGACAGCGACTAAGACGTGGAAAGAGATCATTGTAGTGGTTTTTGATCTCTTCTTCTGTCAGTCCCCGCAACTCCTCGGCCACCCATTCTTGGACTTCAGGATACGCCGCCAGCAGGAGTAGTCCAAAGGCAAACGTGTTAGCGGTGGTATCATGGCCTGCAAAATTGATCACAAAGATATTCCCGAAGATCTCGTCCACGGTAAGGCCTTTGGGAGGGGAGGCACCGGAAGCTCCAGTATCTCCATCTGCGTCAGTTTTCTGCTTAAGGTCCATGGCCCGGACAAACGATGTCATAAGACCCCCACTACCAGCCTGGCCGGTGTTCAACGCCTTGGTCTCCTCATCCAACATACGGACCATGTACTGCTGGAAGTCATTGGCCGCTTCGGCGATCTGGTGCCACGATCGAGGCGCAATCGGAAGCCTCAGCCATTTCCGCGGCAGGACCATGAGCAGAATGCAGTTGTCGAGGACGGTCTGGAGGGCATCACGGTAGCCCGCCGACCCAGCTGGGCCCTTCTCTTTGCTCGGGGTAGATTGAGGCCCTCGACCAACGGTGTGGCCATTGGCACTCTGAAAAGAGAACGACTTGCGAAACCCAGTCGCGGCAAGGACGTTGAGAGACAGAGTGCGCGTGTCCTTGGCAACGCTGGCAATCCGACCCTCGGTGGCACTGTCCCATGCTTTTATCATCTGTCGCGTCTGCTCCACGCTTTCGTTCCACACAAAGGACATGATGCCCTCGTTGAATGGGGTCGCGAGAACCTTGCGGTGTCGTGGCCAGTCTATCCAGCTGGCGGTGGAGATGCAAGGTCCATAAACCTCAAGCACCTCTATACCATCGCAGAGGTCAGACGGTCCGCGGATCAGTGGGCAGAACGAGAAGGTGGAGGTCCGCACGTACTGTACAGATGACTGGGACGGATGAAGTCGGTTCGACGTTGAAAGATCTCGTGAATAGCCTTTGAGTCGGCGACTTGGACGTAAACATCGCGCGGGGTGACAATGGCCCAGATGGGACCATAGCGGCGATGCGATTCACCCCGGTCGGCAAAGTACCAGCCACGGCGGGAATAACGACCAAAAGTATAGTTGCGCCAGTTGATAGGGAGCCGATCAAGCCATGACCAGACAATCGGCTCAAGAACCACCCAAAGAGGGTTCATGGGGTCAATGTAGATGCGCACTAAGGGGATGTTCATGGCCGAGGCTCGGCGGTAGTTTTTTTCCATCGACACAAGGCTCCATCCCAGATAAGAGAGGACCAGCAGGCCCAAAGCCTTCAGGAGCATGATGACAGGCTCCAACAATCCCGGTCAAGAAAATAAGAAAGACTCAACCACAGATTCTGGCGGGAACGGTTGACATTCGCGGTGATAGCAAGAGAGGAATAGAGAGGGAGAGAGGGAGAGAGACTGTGTGTGAGAGAAAGAAAGAAATCAAGGGGGGGGAGTTGGAAAAAAAAGAACAAGCGGAAAAAAAGGAATAAAGGGAGTGTACGGAGAGGGGAAAGGAAAACCCAGGAGATTTGTTAAAGAAAGGCAACGCATAAGAAAGTACAGTACTGGTTGAACTTTGTACCTGATCATTACCGAAGTTAGCCCTACAAAGCCTCAAGATGGTTCGACGAGTACGGAGCAGCCGACTCAGAATCCTCCCTCCCCTCAGACCATCCAGTTGCTAAGTGGGTTTTCTGATACGTCTGGTGTCAGATTTGTGCTTACTTATTTTACCACTTGGCTTACTAGCCGATACTTCCGATTACTTTGCATGCACACATAGCCTGATGGTAGGTAAGCACTAAAGCACTGCAGGCTAATCCCAGCACTTAAAGGACAAGGATCAATAAGACTAGTGCCTTTCGGGACATATGAGCTTTGAGAACGCTTGTTCTTCCTGCTGGGGATTGCCGACTTGGACTTGGTCTTTGCTCCTACCTCTCTAGCCCCCGGCAATCAAATCTAGTCTATAATTTGAGGGGAAAGAATGTATTTTATGTAAGCACAATTATGTTTGCTCTTCGCCTAGACTTTTGGCCCCCAAGCGAAGTTTCCCGTCCTGCTTGTCTGAGTAGGCTCCAAAGCGTCAACGTCAAGTAAAGCATTTGCCGGCCTATTGATCCTTGCCGGTGTATTTACCCGAAGCCAACTTACAGGCCCTGAATAGACATAGAACCATTTTTTATTTTTTCTCTTTCTTGTTTGGACACGATCCAGGGCATTCAAAACCTGCCACGGGCTATATCAGTAAGCCGGATCTCAGTGTCGCTAAATAAGTCTAGTCCACTTGGAGTCACAACAATCTGTCATTCACTGGGATTTTCAAAGGAGGCAGGATCAACAAGCGCACTTGAATATGTTTGTCGTCGCGTACGAGCTCAGTCGCAATGCGCTTATTTATATGCCACTCTTTCTGTTGCTTGCATGGCGGATTTGGGCTTTCACAATCCGCCCGCGACTCTACCCTCACCGGCTGCAGTATTTGCCATACTGGATTCCATGTAAGTCAGCAAATGGCCCTGCTCTCATGGTAATACCATCGATCCAGATGCTCACCTTCCTAGACCTAGGTATGTCACGAGATATGCCTACTATGAGCAGGCCGCCTTGACCAGAACAGGGACTCATCTGGCTAGGTCATGTCATCCCTTTCTTCCGCAATTCCAATCGCCTGTATTTCCAGGCCAAGAAGTTCAGTCCCCAGCACTGCACCTTGCGTATTGCTGGACAGGATATCGTTCTGGCAACAACAGCAGCTCAGATCTCGACAATCGACAAGGAACGCCGTATTTTTAGTTTCGAGGACTTTATGAATCTCGTGTATGACGACATGGCCAAGGTCTCTCCGAAGAATAAGCCACTACTTTGGAGAACCCCTGCCCAAGGCTATGTCTCCATTTTCCCTAATCCTAAGCAGCTGACTTGTGCGCATACCGGCGTCGAGCTTCTGCACAAGCAGTTCCACCGGCCGGACATGCTGCGACAATTTTTGGACAGTTCATTGGCTGGGTTCAGCCAGGCTCTACAATGGAACACCCTCTACACGACCAGTGTGCTTGGGTCGAGTCCAGAGCACAAGGTCGTTTCACTCCGTTCTCTCTGCAGGGACGCGATTGTGGATGCTCAGGTGGACTCCTTCTTTGGAACCCGGCTGTTGGAGCTTGAGCCAAATCTGCGCGTCATTCTCAGTGACTGGGATACCCAGAGTTGGAGGGTGATATATCAGCTTCCATCTGCTCTAGCAAAGCCTGCCACACAACCCCGCGACCGATTGGTCGATGTCCTCGCGCAGTACTACTCCCTCCCCGCAATAAATCGACCTGGATCTGTCGCATTTGTGAACGAGTTGTACGACGACTACAAGCAAGCTGGGCTCTCGACTCGGGATATAGCTGGAATTGTATTTACCATCCTGTCGGGGTGAGTCTGAACCAATTCCTAGGATAACCACGCCTGAATAACAAAGTGTGCAGACTTAGCATTAATCCTACCATGCTTGCCTTCTGGATGCTCGCTCATCTGCTCAACAACCCTACCGTCATCGATCAGATCCGGGAGGAGATCGCACCGGCCATGCGCGCTGGGGTTTCCAATCCCGAGCTTAACGGCGCCTCATTGTACGAACTCACCAAGCATTGGCTCTCAAGCCAATGCTCGCTTCTAAACTCCGTGTTCTACGAGACGCTGCGTTATACGAGCACGGGCAGTAGCATCCGCAAGACCACCCAGGCTACAACGCTCGATGGCTACGGTATCCCCAAAGGCACCATCATCGCGATTCCCCAACGACTACACATGATGAGTGAAGAGGCCTTCGGCCTAAATCCTTCTACCTTTGACTACTATCGGTTCCAGCGGGACAAGTCGTTGACCCACAAGACGGAGTTCCGCGGGTTCGGAGGCGGCACGACCCTCTGCAGCGGCCGGACTGCGGGCCGGCACATGGTGCTCGCGTTCGTGGCGTTCGTGCTATGGAGGTATGATATTGAAGCCTTGGGACCAAGTCAAAAGGTGCTCGGGATTCGAGGAAAGCCGTTCCCTCAATTGGATGAAGCGACACCAAGCCTTGGACCCGGCCGGCCACTCGACGGCGGTGATTTGATCCTGAAGCTTACACAGCGAAAGGTATAGAAGCTAGAACTCTCGTCATTTTGCGAAACGACAAATATAAAGAGACTTCGAGAGTATTATTATCTATAACCACTTAGAGAAATAGCCCGCTTCGAGAGTTAATAGTAATAACATCTCATTATAGAAGATGGCCAACAAAATTTTGATTTGTGCAATAGTTGCCGTGCTTGTGATGCAGTGAGTGCAACACTCATATACTGGCTAGCAGCGGCATACCTCATTATTATAGTAACCAGCCGAAGAACGTAATATAGTATAAAGGGAGCCTGGTTGCCTATGTTACATCCTTTCTTCCAATTCAATATAAGGGGCTCTCACGTAACTGTCCTGAATCGATCCTATCATTTATCGATCCTACATATTCGGGAACATTCTGCAAAAATATGGGCTTGGTGGGACTCATGGGAGTCCCATGGGAGATGTCAATGTCTAGGCGTACCTGCTCCGTTTCCAAAGACTAGAATCGCAGTTGGAATGCATATAGCCTAGTATAAAACCGGAGGCTAAATTACACTTTCGTGGTTAGTTACAATGCCTCCCTTTATCGTATTCACTTCCCCTGATCATTCTCAGCCCTCCTTTCATGACAATATTTCCGACATTCAGCGTTTAGATAATAGTACGAGATGGGATGCTTGGTGTAGTCAATGTTTCCCCAGATATTTCATGAGTTAAACTAGATCGTGCAAGCAAATTCTCCGAGGCCCTCAGCCCGGACATTCAACACACATTGAAAAGCCTTTCGGGTCGGGCAAGGAAGATGTTGAGGTATTTGCAACAGGGTTCCATATGTAAGGACTCCGCATGATTGGCCCTTGTCACCTTCAATCCCCCGCATTTCCCCCGCAGTCTCGCCGTTGGCAGTAGTCAGGAAGACTGCGGGGAAACCGAAAACTATGGGATGCACTTCTAAGTTAAAAAGTATGGTTAAATATGCCCCAACTACAAAGTTAGCGGGAAAACAAAGTTGTAATCTCTGAACAATAATGAACGGTCCCTCACAGCATCCTACAGTCTTAGAACTTCTTAGAACACCAATAAAATTCGAACCTCTACCCAATTACCCCGTCGGGACCCAGCAACCAGCAACCAGCATTAAACTTTCCGGCGGGGGTGAATCATCGGCTCAATACCGAAAGACGAAAACCGGGGGAGTTAATTTGCCAGTCAGTTGATCATTTTAGTTTACCCCAGCTGTTCATCACCACTCTAACCGACCATTTTCCGCAAGCGAGGCGTAGGGTCCCGGTCTCGAGCATGCCCTGGATGATACAAATGTGAGAATATTTCTCCCTCCCGACGTGTCCCTGTCCGTTCTGTGAGTACATAAATAGGGACAAACTGAACCGACATCAGTCTGCTCTCGACTCGCGTGACGTGGCATCTTGCGAAGAGCTTGGGTATCGGTCATACTTCCGAATTCCTTCTTACTTTCAACCGCCTTGTCTCGTCAGGAGTCTCTCCTAGTGAAGGCCGATCCGATATGAGCTTTAGTGAGGATAAGCAGGTCAACGCTGTGGCGCACCTAGAGGACGGGCCAGGCGAAGAGCCTGTCAAATCCAACGAGCTTGCGAAACAGGCAGCGCAAGAGGAACACCAATTGACTCTCGCCGGCGCCCTGCGCAAGCATCCGAAGGCCGTCATGTGGTCAATTTTACTGTCGACCTCAGTCGTCATGGAAGGCTACGACATCGTCCTTATGTCCTCCTTCTTTGCCCAGCCGGCCTTCTCCCGACACTACGGCGAATACATTCCCAGTAGCAACAGCTACCAGATCACCGCGTCCTGGCAGAATGGCCTCAGCAACGCCGTTTCTGTGGGCACCATTATCGGCGCCTTCGCTAATGGATATTTCACCCATCGTCTGGGCTACCGCAATGTGTTACTGGCCAGTCTGGTAGCTATCACGGCCTTTATATTCATTCCCTTCTTTGCGCCAAACTTGCCCGTTCTTCTGGTCGGCGAATTCCTCTGCGGTATTCCGTGGGGCGTCTTCGCAACCATGGCGCCTGCTTATGCCTCGGAAATTTGCCCTATGGCCCTGCGTGGCTACCTCACCGTATATGTGAACCTTTGCTGGGCCATTGGCCAGCTTATATCGGCCGGAGTGCAGTCTGCGTTCTCTGGGAACGAGACACAATGGGGATATCGCGTGCCCTTTGCCATCCAGTGGGCATGGCCCATTCCACTGTCCTTTGTCTTGCTCTTTGCACCAGAGTCCCCGTGGTATTTCGTCCGACGTGGGGATTATGTCTCCGCTGAAAAAAGCATGGTCCGTCTCGGCTACTCCAGCGCGAGTGGCGAAGCCAAACAAGCCATAGCGATGATGATTCACACCGACGAACTGGAAAAGCAGATCGACCAAGGTACAAGCTACTGGGATTGTTTTCGAGGCATTGATCGACGTCGAACGGAAATTGTGTGCCTGGCCTTTGCCGCCCAACCTTTCTGTGGTTCCGCCATGGGTGGTACTCCGACATACTTCTTCGTTCAGGCTGGTCTGCCGACTTCAATCTCGTTCAAAATGTCGGTGGGTGGACTAGGGCTGGCCTCCATCGGAACGATCATCTCGTGGTATCTCTTGCACGCGTTTGGCCGCCGTACTCTGTACCTCTGGGGCCTAGGCCTTCTAACGATAGTCTTGCTAGTGGTTGGTTTCGTGTCAGTGGGGGCTGCGAATTCCGTGTCTGGGAACTATGCCCAAGCAACGATGATGCTCATCTGGCTTCTCGTCTACTATCTCACAGTGGGACCCATCTGCTACGCGATCATCAGTGAAACCTCTTCCACCCGGCTCCGAAGCAAGTCCGTTTGCCTATCCCGAATTACGTACTATATCGCGCAGATTGTCTGCAATGTCGTCAACCCCTACATGCTCAACCCCACAGCAGGAGACTGGAAAGGGAAGACTGGTTTCTTCTGGGCCGGCTGGGCTTTATTGTTTTTCATTTGGACGTACTTCCGCCTGCCCGAGACGAAGGGCAAGACATTTGAAGAGTTGGATATCCTATTTGCTAGGAAGATCTCAGCTCGAAAGTTCGCCAAGTATCGCGTCGATGCCTATACCGAGGGGGAACAGGCTCTTTCAACGGAGGAGTAGGAGGGCCCTAGGCCAGGGGCCCTTTTCAGGTAATAGGTTGTGTGATTTGCTCTTTTCCCTGTTCTTGGGTGATTCGTGACACGGATTTCCTAGGCTGCCTGAAATTATATACTTTAGGGGTGTTGCGTGCTTGTTTACTACTAAACTTTCCACTTGTAATGTCTATGGCTATGAACTGGCGATATGCAATGTAAGATTTCGGTCCTTTTGTAATTGGACGTGACGTATCCAAAACTCTAGCATGAAGAAACAAGAAGGGAGAGCCCATCAGAGGAGGGATTAAAAGTCCTTAGGCACCTTTCCAAAGCCCCAGCGGCTTCTGCTATGAAGGAAATTAAATACTCAGTAGTCTAAGGAGCTCCACGGGGTATGGTGAAATTGGGATTGCGGATATGGTAGAAGTAAAAGACTCTATCACCTATAGTAGATCGTGAGATGGGTCATCATTCAGCTCGCTTCAATTAAACACCTTATTGTTGCCGCGTACAACCGCTGTATACCCCAGGTATGAACGATTCTCTCCCCGGTCGTGCTATTTGGGCTGTCCCTCCTAACGTACCTCTTCCCTGCAAGCAAGTAAAACCCTTGTCGGAGGATTTTCACTGGTGCGCCATCACTAGTAATATCCCCAACACCTTTAAGCTGAGCGGACACCTTGTTTCCAACGCGTATGTACATCTGCACAAGCTCATCATCCAGAGGCCGATCGAGATATATCAAACGTGGCTCTGCATCGGATTGATCCGTTGCTGCATCGTCTTCATCTGCCAGTGCCTGATCATCGGGGAGTTGATCCAACGAAGGCAGATGGTTACCAGTTCCGCTCTGGTGACTCGTATTGCTTTGTACTCTGACGGATTGCGCGGAAAGACTGTATGCCCAAAGAAGGAGGGTCGCGATATAGACAGAGAACGGTTCGATGACGTTATCAGTGCTGAATCGACGCACATGCCATAGCAGAGCCCCGGCGTGGATGACTGCCAGCCGGGCCTTGAACTGATCTTGAATTGCCCATTGAAATACCTGACTACGAGCGTGCTCAAATCTTTCCTGGTGAGACGTATGGGCAGAAAGCCCGCCCTGTGCGGGCAGCAGAGGGTCTTGTGCCAGCGTTTGAAAGTGCACAAACGGAGACAGAAGGATCAGTCTAGCGAGATGCAGGTACAAGATGGTGGGCTCTTCCCAGCATGATTCGGCAGCACGACTATTCGCCGTACAGTGCAGGACGTCAAGTGAGTCACAGGCAGCGTTGCGCCACTTCACGAAGAGGCTACTTGATGGAGGCCACATTGCTTGAGCTGAAGCTGGCCCTGATGTAGTTATTTGCACGCTGTCTGTGGGGCTCCATGACGACAATCGCATGCGGCTCTGATCGGCAATCTCTGTAGTCCGTTGGTAGATAGCGTGGATGAGCAGAGTCTGGCTGAACTGGCTGAGCTGGGGAGGAAGGCGTTTTTCGATGTAAATCAGATCGAGGGCCTCCAGAAGAGAGACTATTATCATTTTTCACACAGAGTCACGAGTCAGCCTATAATTCTGCGCAGGACAAAGTCAAGTCAAGACGGTGTTCCTACCGGAGAAGCTTTCAGCAAAAGCTATATTTTCAAGGGACGGACGCTCCCAAGCCGTCTCATGGCAGGGCAGCAAGCCTCTGAGGTCTCCCAGTTTCATAAGGTGATTGCAGTTCAACTCATAGGCCATCATGGAATCCAATAGCTATAGTCACCCGTTAGAATATCGCTGCGTCTCTGAGGGACAGCCGTAAGAAGCAGGTATCGAACACTTCCACTCACCCATATCATCATTCCGGTTCTCAGTGACGATTGCTCCGTTATCCACTGATGGATGTCCTTGCGGCGGGTACTCAATCCAGAGACACCTACAGAATCGGGGATTAGGTTTAGAAACGAGCACCACTGTACCAAGTCGGCCCGCTCAAATACTGCACGCTGGGAAATATACGACATGCTGCTATGCAGCATACACAACAAATGCAAAACCTTGGCCTGGACCAGGGGTAGAACATCCTCGACTTGGTTCGCCGTTTCGAAGGCGTTAGTTGCTGAGGGTGTGGTATTCACCTGACGTTGGACTTGATGTAATCGACGTGCTAGAATGCATTCTACTGCTTGCATCAGAGTGTCTTTCCATTGTGAGCCTTGTGATGAGCGCAAATATACAGCTCCTACTCCGGCCACTGCCAGCGACAGTATCCAATGCGGCTTCTCGGATACGAAGGCTGTTTGACTAAGAAAAGGGAAGTTAGGATGCAGACGCTCAAAGTAGAGATGGACACAGAGCCGAATGGCCGGCAGCGAGGGAAGACATGATGATGCCTGAGTCTCCTCTTCCACGCCTCGGACAATTCTGGCATAGACATCTTCGGCCAACCATTTGCTCAACGATGACGTAGTTCCGTCTAGGTTGGCCACAGATCCGATCGATACGCTCGAGGGAGCCGACGTTGTCACGCTGCCTCTATCCACAGGACTCATGGCTTGCCCCTTTCGAAATCTGGTTTGAAATGGAGCTCGCCAGGCGATGCCGTGGACATAGTATTTGCCACTTGTAGTTCGGGAACTCTGTGACGATTGTTCGTCCATTGGTTTTCCTGATGACTCCGTCGCTGCACGCTCGGGGCAACTCATCATCTCGGCTGGGGTTTCCATCTGGGCATGATCGGTGGCTGACTGGCTGGCGGGAGCCCACTCCACGGTAGGCTGCGTACTGAGGAGCTGGGGTAGGGGGGGAACATCCGGGAGGGCGAGACCTGTCGGAAATATACCACCATCTGGGATGCCAGCTAGTTGACTGGCCCATTCCTGGAGGATTGTCTCGTCCGGTGAAAGCCAGTTGATAGCCGACAAGGAGCGGGAAGCCAATTCATCCCTCGGAGGGACCCCATCCATCCCCGGCTCGTAAGGGATTTCCGAGTCAAGCGAATTTCCAGCCCGGGCGTCATAGACGCGCGTGTCGCTCAAAAGAGAGTCTTGGGCCCAATCTGCGTTGTCGCCGAGTATAGCTATTGGCTCCAGGGATCTTGTTCGCGTCTCCTCCGGCTGCGACACCGGTGGATCAATTATCGAGTTTGTCCCCGATCCGGTGTTCTCATCATTGCTCGCGCGTTGGTTTTTGGATGCCCGTATTCGACGCTCACAAGGTAACCCCTTTGACTCGCATCGAGTGCAGGGGTCTCCTCTCGTGCAACGGACCCGACTGGTCGCGCATTGCAGACAGGCCGCGCGCCTCTGCGTGCGGTTTATTATCATCTCCGGGCGCTGCTGATCATGGACTTTAGTGTGACGATTCAGAATGTCCCTAACCGTAAGGGGCGGGTTAGCGCCGAAGAGTAGCAATTGGCCTTGGAGTATTTCGGCGCTTGTACCTACATGCGAGAAAACTCCTTCCCACAGGTATCGCAGGTGAACGGCCTCTCTTGAGTATGAACACGGAGGTGCCTGGTAAGGTGCTCTCTTCTCGTAAAGCCCCGCCAGCAGAAGTTGCAGATTAGAGGTGGCTCGTTGCGTCTGGTACCCCTGATGCCTTTCTGTCTACCCATGTTCGCATCGTTTCCCATAATGCCGTAAGCCTTGAAGGGCGACGAACTGCGGGGCTGGGGGGGTCGCAGGTGGGGGGATGGAGAATGTTTGTGGTGCTTGTGGAGGCAGTCTGGAGAATTTCTGTCCCCACCCATTTAATCTTCTTCTGCGAGGGTTCCACACATAGTTATGTACTCCGTACTCCAGCGTACTTAGTAATTCGTTCGGGTGAACTAACTAACTAGTTATGGCCTTCTCCGTCCTAATAGTCCGCCGGACCCCACATTGTTCGTGCCCCAGCCACTACGAACCGCCGAATTCCCACCCGAAGGATGATCAAGCCAAGATTGATGTCTAATCTAACAGCAAGGATCAGCCGGTCGGGAAATGGCATCCCAAGCTAGATATATATGGGTATGAGTACTATTTGTTACGTACGGGGAATTACGAGGAATAGCTAGTGTTTAATTCTGAACACAGTCTGTAGTTTGATGGTAAACCCGAGTTGGACCGAGTACTCCGTATCCTATCTAAGACTGTACGTAAATCTACCAGACCAGCACTTCGCCTATTCTTTCACAAAAACAGGCATCATATCAAGAGGGCAGCCAACCTCGATCCATTGGCCACCGTCCCAGACATCGGTTCCCTGGAATGCTTTCCACTTCTGTTCACGGGGCAGGCTGGGGAGATAGACCGTCATCGTCACAAGGCCAGCGCTAAGCACCGGGCAGCACATGAATTGATGGCCAAACATGTACTGAGTGCCCACCTCCCAGCACGTCTTGTCCTCGGGGAATTCATAAAAGAGAGTTCGCATCACCGGGGCGCCTTTGTCCGCAGCCTCTTGCATCAGCTGTCGTGTGTATGGGCGCAATTCCTCGCGGATCTGCATATACTTCTTGCAGATGTCATACACAGTCGGCCCATAGGACCATACCTCGTTATCGGCACCGCTACAACACGTCGCACCTCCCGTCGTGCCCTGTTGAGGCTGCCGGGGCTCTCGGTCGCCATGCAAGCGCATAACGGGGCAGAAGGCTCCCCACTGGAACCAGCGCACAAGCAGTTCGCGGAATTCTGGATCAGTGGGATCTCCACCATGGAAACCACCAATGTCTGTGGTCCACCAGGGGAAACCTGCGATGCCCATGTTAAGACCAGCAGCCAGCTGATTCCGAAAGCTGCTCCACGAGGAGGCGATGTCGCCACTCCAGACCAGCGCTCCATACTTCTGGCTGCCGGCCCAGGCGCATCGCACCAGGTTCACCACCTTCTCCTCTCCCTCGCCAGTCAGGCCTTCGTAGAAAGCCCGCGTATAGTCTCGCGGATAGATATTTCCAATCGCCAGGTTTGACCCGAGGTGGTACCGATAGATGTCAAAGTCGTATGCCGTATATTCGGGTTCGGCCTCGTCGAGCCAGAACACTTTGATCCCGTATTTGGCATAGTAATTGTCACGAGCCTTTTTCCAAACGTATTGTCTCGCTTTGGGGTTCGTAGCATCAAAGTGGATGGTCTCGCCCTCGAAATCCAAGCCAGTTCGAACGCCCCGGTCCACCCGAATGAGCAGACCACGTTCGCGCATCTCCTCAAAGTTTTCCGACTTCTTATCCACTGTAGGCCAGATAGAAACCATGAGCTCAATGTTCATCTCACGCAGTTCCTGAACCATAGCAGCTATGCAAAAATCCGGGTCAGCTAGCGTCCCTCATCGCGATCACCGAGATACATACCTGGATCGGGCCAGTAGGTAGGGTCAAACTTCCATTCTCCTTGCTTGGGCCAGTGGAAAAAGTCAATCACAATGAGATCGATCGGTAAGTTCCGGCTCTTGTACTCTCTTGCCACGCTCAGTAGCTCTTCCTGGGTCTGATAGCGTAGCTTACACTGCCAGAAACCGAGGCCATATTCAGGCATCATAGGGACTTTGCCGGTGACGTTGGCATAATGCTCCTCAATTTCCGCGGGTGAATCCCCCGCCACAACCCAGTAGTCCATCACCTTGGTCGAGTATGCCTCAAAGCTCATTGTGTTCCTCCCAAACACTGCGCGCCCGATCGCGGGGTTGTTCCATAGAAAGCCGTATCCGAGAGATGAAAGAGCAAAGGGGCAACTGGCTTGAGAGTTGCGATGCGCCAGCTCGAGGTCGATACCCTTCAAATCCAGGAATGGCATCTGGTATTGACCCATGCCGAATATCTTCTCATTCGGGTCAATACTCTCAAACCGTGCAGTGAGGTGGTAATCGCCGCCCAGGATGGGCTTAAACTCCCGGGCCTCAATTTCAATGGCACTGCATTTAGAATCGAGAACATCCCGACGGGTGCGCGTGTACTCCTCAAGTAGGACCCGGCCTTGTGAATTTAAGACTGTCAGCTTACCGAATTGAGTAATGACAGCCTCGATCTTGCCGTTGGTGATCTTTGCGGCGGTTGAGGAGATGGAGATTTCGGCGGACATGACGGGAGGACGCTGCCCCTCGAGCGCCCAGTCTTCAATTGGCATGGCCGCGCATTTTGTGGCTCTGATCCGCAAGGCATTCGGACCCCAGGGCTCGATATAAAGCTGCTCGGCGTCGTACTCGTAGGTAAGGCGGTTTGTCTCCTCACGGAACATCTTGGACCCGGTGCTTGAATCACTGGTTTGTGTGATTTTCGGTTGGCAAGATGAACTCTTCAAGTGTCATGTAATAAATCATGGATTCGTATACAGGGTGAATAGCTCTTATCCTGATTCACTTCCACCCCGTCGGAATGCCAAGTCCGGCGGGGAATATCTACTTATCGGCATCCGTGCATCTGACCCTGAGGGGGAGTGGGTCCCCTCTTGGCAGAGCTCCTTTAACCATCCCAAGTTTCGGGTTATTTTTCTCTGCACAGGGGCTACCCCGCCTCCGCATTTAGAGAGTCTTTCTCCATTGGCTCGGGGAGTCGTTGGTATAAGATGCCAGTGCATGAAGAACCATCCGTAGGCAGAATTTACATTGACCATCAAGATCATTTACGAGCCTCCAGATTCTTACTATGTTATTTCCCTTGCTCCCATGGGCCACTTTACTGCTCGCCAACTCTGGCACTGCATTGGCGCAAACCGCCACCGTTGACGCTGCCATTAGCCGTGGCACTCCAGCCAATCTGGCTTCGGGCTGGATCTATGGAATCCCGGACCAGGAAGGCCAAATTCCTGACCATTTCTACACCGATGTTGGATATAGATATGGCCGAGCAGGTGGAGCGCAGCTTGTCAATCCTGGAGAGCGAGGCTGGATCTGGGGAGTGAAGGAATATAGGGTATGAATAAATAACCCGGTCGAAATTCCAGATGCTGGACTAATATCTGAACCAGAGCCGCTTCCAATCAGCGCTCTCCAATTACAAGACCTCAAGAAAATACGGTGCCCGCTTTCAGCTTCTTCTCCATGACCTCTGGGGGGCCGATAGCACGCAGAACTCAAGCGCTCCGTATCCTGGCGACGGCGGGAACTGGGCATTGTATGACGCGTTCCTGGGCCAGGTCATAGCCGATATTCAATCCAATTCAATGACTGCGGGATTGGACATAGATCTGTGGAATGAGCCCGAGGGCGTATACTGGAAGAATCGAGGAGTGGCCCAGTGGGTGAACATGTGGGGTCGGGGCTTTCACCGACTTCGGTAAGTGACACTTTATGCCAGAGATGTAAGCCTGTGCTGACTACTGGCATGCCGGCGTCCATAGGGATGCCTTGGGTCCAGCTGTTCTTCTTGTCGGCCCGTCTCTTGCGAGTCCACCAGCAATTGGCAACTCGTGGTGGGATGGCTTCCTGGGCTTTATTGGTGCCAACGATTCCATTCCCGATCAATACACCTGGCATCTCGAATGCGGCGGCGGTTGTGACTTGCAGGCCAGCAACTCAACCTTAAAGTCATTGCTCAGCTCGCACGGTCTACCCAATCGACCTAACAACGTCAACGAATACGGGACTCCTTCAGAACAACGACCGAGTGGTGACGCCTGGTACATTAGTCGCTTCGAGCGTTATGATACTCTCGGCTTGCGTGGTAATTGGCTCTCGACTACTGCGCTTCACGACTTCCTGGCCGGGCTTGTGGGCAAGCCGAATGCTGAAACATCGTCGTATAGTGCGACAGCGGGTGGCTACTGGCCGACCGGAGAGTTCCAGGTCTACAAATACTACCATTTGAATCAAACCGGCATTCGTCTCGGTACCACAGGCTCGGCAGACGGTGGATTTGACGTTTACGCTACTAAGACAGGATCTGTTGTGAAGATCCTATGCGGCAGCAAGGCGAAGACGGGAACATGGGATATTACCGTTAACAACTTGGCGTCTTTGGGGCTCCCATCCTCCGGCAGCATCACAATCACCACATATGAGTTCCCGTGGACCAGCCAATTTGGAGAAGTTGATACCTCTGTGGATCTTGGTCAAGTGACCCATACATACACCGACGATTCGGTGACATGGTGGGTGAAGTTCTCCTCCCCCAACACGGCGTATGCCTTTGAATTCGCATACTGAAATACTGGATCTGTACTTGAGCGGTTACCCAAGGTAGTTCGCACTGGGTAGTAGAGATAGCAGGTATTGTTAAGGTTGACAGAAAATTTTGTTACCTAGTAGTACTATGGTTCTTGATGTGTAATTCGTCATTCGCCATGCCCATTAATTTATCTGTCCAATTGATGTGTTGAGTAGACCATGCAACCTCCTTTATTGAACTTGTCTCTACTGGACCATGGCCCCGACAATCGGTATACCATATAGGTGGCTGGGCCGCGAACACACCCATCTGAGATATATAATATCGAAAGGTATGTACCTGATCGCCAAACAAGAACGATGTCATACGCTAGATTTGCTGGAGTGGTGAACATTTGTTCTATTAGCTTTTTCATTCGGTCTAGGGCTCTGCATGGGTTGGTCTCGGTCCCAAGTTTGAGGACTGGGACGGTGTTGAGGTCCCAGATGTCTTCAATTGTTATAGGGCGCATTCACAAAGGCCTAAGAAAGGATGCCGGGAAGTTAAAGGTACTTTCTAATCCTGAATTCCTGTAAGAAATAATACTTTATAAGTATAGATATCATTACAAAAAGTCTTCATTCTATGTATATCTGATTTATGTTTTCTAAGAGAAATTAAATAAGAGAAGTCTAATTAAAAATAATTAAATATTAAAGCCCCCCCGATTTAGTTATATTTACTTATATTAAATAATCTTGGAAAATTATGTATTATAATTTCCAAGAATGAATTTTAGTCTAAATTAAGTTAGATCATTCTTTTCTATAGTTCTATATCTGCTTCTCCCTATCTACATAGTGGCTTGATAGCCTTCGTTGCGAGAGGTTACAGTTAGTTATAAAACAGTTATTACTTATTATTTACTAGTAATTTACTAATAAATATTAGTTAACTAGTTTTAAATAATTATATAAAATTTAAATTTAATCTTATAACTATAATAAAGTAAATTATTATTATATCTTTATTTTCTAATAATTTTAATATCTTTTAAAGTTTATTTTCTAATAAATTAATAATATTAAAAACTTATCTTTTTACTCTTTTTTTTAATTTCTAAACTAAAGTAAAACTATAAGTTTATATTTATTTTACTTTATAAATATTATTAGTTTATATATTAAATTATATCTTTTTATTTAGTTACTAATATCTTATCTTTTTTTTTATTTTTATTTTATTTATTATATTTTTTTTATTTTTTTTTCTATTTCTACTTTAATCTCTTCTTTAATTTTTTCTTTAATTTCTTTTTTAACTTTTTCTTTAATTTTTTTAATAATTTTTTTTTTAATTTCTTAATTAATCTCTTCTTTAATCTTTCTATTCTTTATTTATTTTATTTAAATTCTTATATCTAGATTAATAATTTAAATATTTTATAATTATAATATCTAGTCTAATACCTTTATTCTATAATTTTATTAATAATAAAAATCCTTTTCTAAATATTTTTTAGTAAAATAAAAATAAATTTATAAAAAATCTAATTAATTAAAATTCTAGTAAACTAAAACCTTTTTATAAATAGATTATATTAATCTATTCTAATTATATAAATACTAAAATAACTTAATTTATAAATACTTAAATAAAAGATCTATTAATAAAAATAATTAAAACTAAGTTAAATACTTTAACTACTCTAAAAAAAATATTTATAAAAAAAAATAATAAACTATCTATATATTCTTAATAAAAAGAAATAGATTAAATAATTTTAATTTAATATAATTAAACTTTTTTAGATGAAGCTTTAAAATAATTATATAAAAATAATAAATTAAAATAAAAAAAATTTAGATTTAGCTGCTGTATAAGAATAGATAATAAAAAATAAAATTTAAAATCTAGTTAAATATATTTAAAAAAATCTATAAAAATATAACTAGAAAATATAAGATTATCTAATAATATTTATAATTTAAGTAAAATTAATAAATTTAAACTAGAATAATAAACTATTTTATTAATATAGTTTTATTAAAAATTAAATAGATTTAATAATCTAGATATTTAAAAATATTCTAAGTAATTTATATATACTATTATAAATTAATAAAAAGAATAAAAAGATTATAATCTTTAAAATATAATTAAATAATAAATCTTAGATCCAGATATAAAAAGTTATTATAAATAAATTTATATACTAATAAAAATAGGTAAGAGAAAATTAAAGAAAAAAAATATTAGATAAAAAAAAACTATATTAAATAAAATTAAGATTAAAAAGAAAAATCAGAGTTAGAGTTAAATTTAGATTTAAATTAATAATATTAAAATTTTAAGAAAAAAAGAGCTAATCCAGCTTAATATAAACTTATTTAAAAATAAAAATTAATTATAAATAAATAAACTTATTAATAAATAAAAAAGAATAATTCTTAAATAAAAAATATTAAATATAATATTAAAAATTCTTTTTAATAGTATATACTAATTATAATAATTTTAAATATAATAAAACTAAATATAATTAAGAAAATTAAGAATATAATTTTAATTAATAAGATTAATTTTTTTAAAATATCTATATTAATATTAATATTATTAACTTTTTAAAAATACTAGAAAAAAATAATTTTAAATTTTAAAATAATTATTTTTTATAATATTTTTAATATAGATTTTTACAGTAAGATAAAAAATTTTAAATAAAAATATAAAATTAATAATAATAGAAATAAACTAATTATACTAATTTTAAAATATTTTAAGAAAATTAAAAAATAAAACTAGTAGTTAAATACTATAAAATTTTAATTTAAAAATTATATTAAAATATATAAAAATCTAGATATTAAAAATAAAAAGAAGTTATATATACTAGAGATATTAAAAAATATATTAATAAAATTTTAATAGCTAATTACTATTAATAAATTAATATAAATTTAGAATATAAAATTAATTATAAAAGTAATTCTAGCTAATAATATAAAATTAAAAAAAATATAAAAAATAATAATATTTATTTTTTATATAAATTAATATTAATTATTTAGTAAAAGACTTTTATAATTAATACTATATAAATTATAAATATATTTAATAAAAAATATAAGACAGCTATTAATAAAAATAAAAAAAATTATCTAAAAATAAAATTTACTCTAGTAGTTATTTCTTTATATCTAATTAAATAATAAATAAAAAAGATATAAATTATTATATTTTAACTAAATATATAAATATATTATAATAATAATTAATATCAGATAAAAATAACTAGATTTATTTAAGATTAATTAATAGAAGATTATAATTATTTTTTAAAATACTTAAAATATACTAGAATTATAATTATTATTAATTATAATATTTTTAAAACTTATTATAGTTTACAGAAAGTTAAGAATTAGTATATAAAAAAAATATTTTAATCTAAAATTAAAAATAATATTAATTAATTTTTTCTACTATCTTATAAATATATTTAAAGTAAATATATTTAAGAAAGTATATTATTTTTATAATAATTTTTTAAATTAAACTTTAATATATATATAATTTAAAACTTAGTTTAATTTATTATTAACTATAACTTTATTTTTTAATAATATTAAAGATTTTTCTAGATATATTAAACTACTACTACTAATATATAATTAAAATATAATATCTAAAAATAATATTTCTATATTATTTATTATAAAATAGAATAGTATAGAAAAATAATATTTATATAATTAAAAATTTATCAGTAATTATATTTTTAAAAAAAGAATTAATAAAATAAAATATATTTTTTATTTTTAAACTATTCTAATATATTTAATAATTAAATATATAAAAATTTTAGAGATACTATTTAAAAATAAATATAAAATTAAATTAGATATTTTATTATTAATTAAAAGAATTAAAAAACTAGTTTTTATTTTTATTAAATAAAAAATCTACTGTAATATTAAACTTATATATTAAAAATATTTATTTATAAAAAATTAGAATTATCTAGAAAAATATTAATAAAATATAAAAAAATTATATATTTTAATTATAGCTTTTTTATAACTAGAATTTATTTATATTTAGAAAAATCTAAAAAAAACTTATTTATTTAATATATTTAAATTAGTAAAAATAAGTATCTAGTTTTTTAAAATAAAATATTTTTTAGAATATAAAACTTATCTAATTATAAAAATTAATATAAAAACTTTTTATATATAATTTTATAATATTACTAATATAGAATTTAAAATTAAGATTAAAATTAATAAAAAAATATAATAATTTTTATTAATAAATTAAAGTTTTTAATATTTAAATTATTAAAAATTAGATATTTACTACAGCTACTATAGAAATAGATAATTATTAAAAATAAAAAAATATTTATTTTTATTTATTTTCTAAAGAAAGAAATCTATCTCTATATTATTTTTAATAAAATTAGATTTAATATTAAAATTTTATATTTAAAATTTAGTCTAGTTAAATATAGTAATATTATAAGAAAATTTACTAAAAATTCTAATTTATATAAGATTTTTATTATAAGTTATTTTATAAACTTATTAGATCTAAATCTCTAAATAATATATTATAATATCTATTTCTTTTCTTTATTAATTTTATATATAATTTTTAAGTAAATAATTAACTACTTAATATATATTAACTAAATATAAATTATATATATTTATAAATACTATATTTATATAATATTTAATATCTATTTTATAAATTATAATATATAGAAAATAATACTAGGTTTTATAATAATAATATATACTAGTTTAGTACTAGTTATAAAAAAAAACAGATTTTTAATAAAAAAATAAATAATTTAAAATAAAAAACTAATAATTTTATAACTTAGAGAATTAATAAAAAAAAATAATATTATTAATATAGATTAAATAATAAGATAAATTATATTAAAATTATAAAATAATCTTTAATTTAATATTTAAAATTAAATTAAAGATAAAATATTTAGATTTAATTTTATAATTTATAATTATATATATTTACTTAAATAAAA